CTAGTTTTGGTGCTCATTCGAACGTAAACAGTTTTATTCCGAATCATGGAGTTCAGCATAGTTACGTTTATGGACCAAGTACACCTGTGCATGGCTATGGTGGCTATGTTCCTGTTGTTGAAAATCAACTTTCTGTAGAACAACATCATCATCATCAACATCAATGTTGGAAAATGTTTCAATGGTTCTGTGATTTATTTTATTGAGTTTTGTAAATCTGTAATTTTTTTTTCAATTTCCAAAAGTGTTTGGTATTATGTTTAAAGTTTTTAAAAAATTATCGTCAATATTTAGAATTTTTATTGTATGATTGGACTTTTTACTCAATAATAAAATAAAAAGATTCGTTTGGGACTTGTTGTTTATTTTGACTATTTTCTAAAAACCGAATTAATGAATTTGTTGTGTTTGTTAAATCTAGTAGTAGAAATTTTAAATCTTTACTGATCTTGCCATTTTTTTTTTCATTTTTAATTGCACTTTATTGCATTTATTGACGACATACTGTCCGGAAACAATTCACATTTTACACTTTTGTATTTGTATACATATGAATTAGTATTATGTAGGATCAAACTTCTAATCTTCATATCTAGGTTTCAAATAAACTAAGGCTCTCGTTTCGATCTTTTGTGGGCGTGACGTGATACTTTTCAGGTCCGTTCTAACAATATTCCATTCGTGGGTAATCTTGTAGCTCTCGTTCCTATTTCTCCCGCTACACTTCAAGTTCCTGACCCGTTCCTTAATCCAACGTTGCCCAAATGCCCAATTATGGCTTGATCTCGTACATTAAGCAGTCGAAGTATCTAAACTTCCGAAAAAGAACAAATTTGGAAATGGCTGGATTCGAACCGACGACCTTCGAGTTATCATCCCAAATTTGAGCCAAGCGCCTCACCTATTCGACCGGCAAGGCACTTAACTGCTTAAATTGACTGTCCCTTATCACCTTGACTTAAGTATCGAATCGAACATATTTACGCATTTTAATAATATTTTCATAACTTTGTGACTTATATTTATCCACAAATTTAAACATTGATGTCTTATTGACGAAGCTGTTGTTATAAAGTTTACACATAATCTCAAATAAAGGTTGTTGATTCTCAATTTTTCAATTTATTCATCTGAAATTGTGCAACAGTAGTAGGAAACATAGGAGTTTGAGGTTGCCTGTAGTGTCTATGGGTTTGGGAAATTTACCCAATTGACATTTTCCCACTGATACCTTTGCCCACTGGTACTTTTGCCTACTGGAACATTAGCCCACTGATACTTAAACCCACTCGTATAGTTGATAAAATTATTTATGTTCTAGAATTTTTAAGGGGTTTGAGGCATTCAATATGCCTATCTTCTCTTAAAATTTGATTAAAGTTCTGTTTTTGGTTTTACTTGATCTTTAATTTGATTTATTTGATGTTTCGCGATGCAAGCGGACTGTTTAAGTTTGCTTTTGACTTTCTGGCATAAACCTCTGGAAATTATCTACAAGATAATTTGCGAAAACAAATTGTTTTAAATGAATTTTTGGTCGAAATTTTCACTAATCTAAATAAGGGTTTCATAAGGGTTTCAATAAGGGTTTGGATAAACACTCGAAAAAAAAAGGAAAAACTAGTTTTTTACTAAGCTCGCCCCTATTCTACAATTGAAAGTGTATTTTCTGCTTAATATTTTGCTCAAAAAATTTTAGGATGTTTTATTTGAATTGACATAAATCTGACATAAATTACAGTAAAAAATTAAAAAAAGTAAACTTTTAAAAGACTTGACAAAATAGCGACGTAATTCAACATTTTTAGCGCATTTTTGAAACTTGTTTCGACAAGGTAGCTTAATAATACGCTTTATTCGGCTGCTCGGGGCAGCAAAAACTTTTTAACCAGACATCGTAGAGAGCTCGAGTTTATTTTATTAGCTCAGTTCTATCGAGTTATTGGCCGGCCGAACAGTTAAAAGTCTTAAAACAGTGTATTCATACTTTAAATAATTATTTTTTTATTTCATATGAAAAACACGTGATGGATGCGTTTAGAAACTTGAATTATATTATACCGTTGTAAAATTGTATTCAGGGTGCGTTCAGAAAATTGAATTTTTTTTAACCGGTAAAAATTTGAATTCAAAAACCGTTAAATGATAAACCTTTTCTTTATGGAAATTCATTGCAACAAATTATTAATTATACTTTAATAAATGTTTTTGTATTGCACATTCATTGCAAGTATTTGTTAACTACACTAAAATGAGTGATCTTCTAATGATCTGTAAATGAACGCAAAATAATACGATAATCAAATACTGATCGCTAACACAAAAATGCGCTTAAGTCTCTCAATCAATAACACGAGGACTTCTGTAATTTTACCTATTTTTACGTTAGAAGCCATCACTCGTTACTAAGCCAGCAGCTTGATAAAGAAAATTGGTTCTGAAAATATTTCTTTTCCGTTATTAAGCCACTACTAATTTTCAATTAATTAAACTATATAAAATAATTTAAAAGTGATTTAATGGTAGGAATCAATAGCTTGAATGTTTTCAAAATAGTTTTGACTTGAAAAATTTAAGATTTCAATGAAAATTATTAATCTTTCTTGTTTGTTGACATTTTTTTTAACAAGCCACCCCTCGTCATTAAACCTTTTTTTTTACGATTTTGAAACCTTTTTTAATCCCATAAGCCACTGGCTAGAAACGTAAAAATAGGGTAATTCACTTTGATCGGCTGCTCGGCTGTGTCTGAGATCTCAATAACCAGACATCGTAGAGAGTTCTAGTTTGTTTTATTAGCTCAGGTCCATTGTTTTATTGGCTTATCGATTATTTTCGAACCGTAAAACAATGGATAAAAACTATAATTAATGATTTTTATATTTCATATGAAAAAACACGTGATGAGAGCGTTTAGAAATTCGAATTTATTTCGACCGTTGAAAAATTTTGAATCTCAAAAAACCGTCAAATTACAAAGCCTTTTTATAAGAATTTTTTTTGCAACAAAATGTTATTTATATTTATAATTAATGCTTTTACTGTAACTTTTGGCAAGATACTTTCAAATGCATACGACCGTTACAAAATTTGAACTTCAGAAAACCGTTAAATGATAAACAATTTATATATGAGAACTAAAGATATTAAATTGTTAAATATACTATAATTAATGACATTTTGTGTATCTTTTGGATTAGAAAATTTGAATCTCAAAAAACCGTTAAATGATAAACAGTTTTTGTATGATAATTGAGTATATTAAATTGATAATTATACCATAGCTAATAATTTTTTAAAGCAATTTTTTGTAAAAAATTATCAAATATTCGGTGGACGATATAATTTGAATTTTAGAAAATCGTTGAATGATAAAACCCTTTTTAGGGAATTTTTTAGGTAACAATATTTTCACACGTGAATACGATTTGAATATAAAAACATTTAATTTTTTTGAAATAGAGGAGACTGGAAGTTACTAACCACTTGAATCCTCTTTGACAACTTCTAAGAATCAATATGTCGACTTTTAGCTTCATTGACCAAGCATCAAAAATAGAAAAAAAATGAGTTTAAAATTTCTTAATCTCAAAATCACTCAACGTGTTTCCATTTGTCGAACAGTTCACTGCTTTTCTGATAGATGGCACCAAAGCTGTATCAAAATATATGCTTCCTGAGCCCTAAACCTTGGGGACAAAATTAATATTGGTTTAAAAACGTGTTTTTTAATTCCAGTGACTATGTAGAAGAACCGACCAAAATATTTGACATGCCATTTGATGGACAATTCCATTACCTACATTTAAAGCATTGGTTGTGTGCAATAATTATGCTTACTTTTTTCATAAAAAGCCAAAAACATAAAATAACTTCTGATTTTTGCAAAATGAAAAAAAAAAACATATCAATCATTGAAATCAGAAAAAGTCAGTAAAAATTATTGGTGTGTAGTGAAAAATACTTCAAAGACTTCAAAATACATCAAATTGCTGCAGATTCCTTCAAGATTGTACATCAAACTGGTGCAAATCACTTTAGATTACTGAAAAGAGAGAATTTGACTAAATAAATTAGAAAACCGTAAGTAAATATCAATTTTAAATAAATTTTCTTGAGTCAATATGGATGGAGTCGTGACTGAGTAACACTCTGCTCCTCTCCGCACATTTCGGTATCTTTGCCAATGTCTGATTTAATCGACTATAGAAAGCTTCCTTTTCACTTAAGCCCTTATCCTCTGTGGGAGCATAGCACTCGATAATGTGACGACTTTTTTCACCCCCCCCCCCCCTTGTTACAATATGTTACAACCCCCCCCCCCCCCCTGAACGTTCATAATTTATTTTATTTTGATAATTTTTTATTCTAAAAAGACGGTTAAATTTCTTTTGTATTTATTTCTTAAACATCAAAATACTGTACAGCTAAATAGGTCATATTTTGATTGATACTATTAGTATTCTCATGAATTATTGGATTGTGATATAAAGCAAAAATTTGTTTTTTTTTTTGAAGAAAATTCAAAAATGTCATAAAAAATATTATACCCGATCGAATTTTGGAAAATTCATTCATCTTTGAATGTTAATATCACAATGATGGGATCATATTAATCATCATATGAATGAAAGATTTAGAGAGATTTACTTTTAAACTTATGATTAATTTAATTTTGAAAATTTCCACAAATTATGATTGTATTTTAAAGTCTTGTAAACTAGTTTTCTATTGATTTGTTACTTTACTTTTGTCATTTTTCAAACTCCCCTCCCCCCTTAAGTGCGAACGTAATAAGTGAACGGCCCCTTTGCTCTTCTACCAAAGTTGAATATTTTCCATACGAGACATGACAAACATAATTACTAACATCAATATAAAAATTTTCTTTTCTTTCAATGATCTTAAAATTCGATAATATACAGTATATTGGATCTAGTAAAAGTTTCAAGCCATTTGCTTTCCAGCTTTCAAGCTCAATTAAAAACTTTGGAAATTTTCTACTTTTTTTTTGACTTATTAGCAAAAAATTGCATATTCAGAACATTTCCTATAAAAAGGTCATCTTCATTATTTTTGGATGACTCATTTCTGCTAAATAACAAATTTTGAATTTCGAAAATATCATTTGTCTGAATAGTTGTATCATCAACGTCTTGGTCTGTTTGCTCAAAATTAATTGAATCGTTAACGCTATCCAAAAAATCCACAAAATCTTTCGATTGTTCATCATCCTCCTCCTTATTATCATCACTAACATCATCACCTTCTTCATAAAGTTGAACATTTTTTTGAGTTGACTTATTTTCTTTCCTTACTTTCTTTACGAGATCACGCATATTTATTCTACCACTATCAATTCCTAATGAATGTGCTTGATCATTGGCAAAATTAACCGCTTCAGAAATTGTTTACGCTTTTTGAGTGATAATCATGAATGAAGATTCTGATAGTTTTTGCTGTTGGTAACACGAAATTTAGTCTAAAATTCTCAAACAGTCCCAATGAAACCTCTTATGTAAAGAAAGCATGAATACATTTTCACTTCAGTGGAGTTCCTTCGTCAGTATTTTTGAGCGTTAAAAACAAACTCTTTTAGCAATGTCGGAATATCTAAGCTGGATACGAGCACATCACTGTTCTGCATAAAATATAAGAAAAATGTTTAGATTTATATATTTATGTGTAATAGTTCAAAATAACATGATTTTAATTTTATCATTTTATGCTCCAAGATGACTCGACGAAAGGACTACATAGAAGATTTAAAGGATTTGATAACAGGAGACTATTTCAATGAATTTACTGATGAAAACGATCAGCCAAGACCTGAAATGAGACAAAGAGATCCATTATTCGTGGAAATAGCTGGAATTTTAAGAGAACGTGGCCATAATATTCGGAATCCAAATTGTTTAGCCTTAAGATATAATAGGAATGTATCTACTTTTTTGTAAGTCATTTTTTTCTATCATTTAGTGACAATTTTTTAATCAAATTGATCATTATTGTAGTCCTCAGCCTACGTCAAGTACTGAAGATGAGGAAGCGAATGATGATCAGGCCCAAATATATTTCGATTTGCTAGACGATGTTCAAGAGTTAAAGGACAATATACAGGAACTCAATGAACAAATTGATGAGCAGAATCAGTTAATGGTCGAATTTGAAGAGTCGGTGAACACTTTGTCTGAAGAAAATAATGAAGAACAAAGAGATTTTGTTGAGATGCAGCACAATGCGCAGCAAAGGCAGCGAATGATTTTGGAAACTGCAAGAGAAATGCAAAACGAAATTCAACAGTTCAAGGATTTTTTGATTCGAAATTAGTGCACGAACTGATGTGGAAATTCGAGATTGGTTGCATGGTCGTTAGTTTCATTCTGAACGTTCAGGATTTCGTCCTTGATCAAGTCAAATCACGTATTTTGAACATTTTCGATTTTCGGATTTAAATTAATCATATTATATTTATCGTTCAATCTTGATCAATTTACAATTTAGTTATCCTGTTAATCCTGTAATAATAAATCCTTTATTCACTTTAATCTAATCCTTACTTACATTGACAAAAAAAATCAGTTCCTTACCTACATTGACAAAAAAATCAGTTCCTTTTCTATCATCCTCAAACTCTTGAGTAAGGAACGTCATAGATTCCGCCATTACCACCATTACAGTGCCATATTTTAAAACTCAATTCATACTGTTCACCTCCCCATATATCCAATTTGTTATCATAACCACCAATTTCCTAGAAGAATTTTGCAGAAATAGCAAAAAGTCCTCTGCTATTTGAAAGCCTTGCTGAAGCTCCAATTTTCGATAGTTTAAATCAAAAACCCCACGAGATCCTTCATCCTGAATCACATAGTTTACGGCTATGGGCTCGAGCATTGGAGGTAGCCAATTTACATTTGGTTCTGTATGAGAATCTAAAAAGATGAGAACATCACCAATTGCTACACGTGCTCCAGTTAATCTTGCAGCAATTAAGCCTGACCTTGCTGGAAGTTCAAAAAGTTTGACGAGATTTTTTGGAAAATTTTGTGATAGATAAGATTTGAGTTCATCGTATAAAAATTCTTTGGTTGATCGATCATTGACTAAAACTACTTCCTTAAGTAGCTCTGGTGGACTTCTATTAATAACTGAATGGATTGTCCTCAATAAAGTACTCAAATGTTCATTATAAAATGGAATAACGACACTGACTGTTGGTAAATCTTTCAGATATCTAATCTTCCAACAATCCTTATGTCTTAAATCCACAACACTCCTGTTGACTGAAATCTTATCAGATATTAGTCCATAATATCCATTTTCATCAAACAATCGTTGATTCAGTTCGTCTTCATCTTCAGGGACACTATCAATTCCCATTCCACTCTCACCAGGACCAGTACGTGACTTTTCTAGATTGATGGCAATATAGTCATGCCAATCAACTTTTATATTCCCTTTATTATGTTCGGAACGAAAAAATGATGACAATGGTTCAAAATATATAAAGTTTTGGTCAACGCGTAGCGGTTCGTTGTTGTATTCGATAACCTTCATCATTACCATAAGAGTGAAGACGAATATTAGGAAAAATACAATTGATGTCTCGATGACACAGCGAGGAGACTAAATAATATAAGAAATTATATTTATTCTCGACGCTAGACTGTAACAATATGTAAGTCCGTAACCCCAGGCTGAAAACATATATATCCCAAAAATTCTAGGCAAGTTCATTTTTCTAAATAGATCCTTTTATTTTAATCGGATTTAATTTTTCAAATAAATAAATATTTACGATTCATTGGGAAATGCGGCACCGAGGTTAAAAAATTGTTCAATTGAATAATTGGATTCAAGAAGCAAAAGTCAGTTGGAAATGAAAAAAATAAATTTAAAAAGTACATGATCTAATCTGTGACAGATTACTATTAACTGCAACTTCGTTCATCATCAATATATATATTTTTTAAAAGTGTCAAAAGGTTATCGATATATATATATATATTAATAAAAGTGTTGTTAGATAACATGATTTTTATTATTTGCACACGTTTTTTAATCAAACGCTTGTTAATAATAAAGTATAATAAATTTAAGTAAGATCTTCCATAAATCAATTAAATCAAACTCGATAGAAAATTTGCCATTTTCTTTGAATTCTAAAATGAAATATTCTTGGCAATAATAATGTGCTAATTTATCAAAGAAAACCGAAGATATAGAAAAGATTTCAATTCCAATAGAGTCATTTTAAAAAGAATCTCAGCCTCTAGAATTGTATCCAAATCACAACTCACCTTAAGTAAATTAATTTTCCGAAGTTTAATTAAAAATTGCCTTTTTGTCCACATTCTTCTTGGTCTGCATAGATACAGCACAACAAAATTAGATATGCAAAGTAATTTATTGAAAAACATATATTTTATTGTGCACAGTAGCTTGATAGTATCAGGTTTTCGTTATATGTGATTGACTGTGATTTTTGAGGTGATTCACAAATTTATTGATTTTTAGTGTTAATTACCTACATCTCACATCGCCTAATTCTTAGTTTTAAGTCTTGAACTGCTGCTAAGAAGCCGAAGTATCTAAACTTCTGAAAAATCACTAGGCTGATTGTAGGATTCGAACCCAGAAGTCCAAATTCAACACCAACTTTTGTGATCTATACCTTGCCAACTGAGGTATCAAGGAACTTTTGCTTCTTAAGTGCATTTTCTTAATTACGTGTTTGTTCCATTTAGATACAAAGCCGTTAAAGGCATTTGAAATGATTTTTATAAACCAAAAATACTGTTATAAACTTCTGTTATTAAATACATCTATTTTCATAGAATTATTAAAAAGTTTTAATAAATTTTTGTTTTTTCTTTTGAAAGAAATTGAGTAAATTTAATCTAACCTTTTGTAAAGAATAGAGACTTAAAATGCACATTTGGCTATGTTAATATGGTTCATAAAAGAAAGCAAAGCTGTTGGATGAAGACGGTATCTGTCATCAAGTGAGAAATTATTTCCTGATACAGAAACTCCTAGTCCGATGTTTAATATAATGCTTTTAATTATGACGAGTAAAAGGTTATAATTTTCATTTTTGTAATTTATTTCGATGTCTAAAAATCCCACGACTAAATAACGCCAGTGAAGATATCATGAAAATTGAATTAGCCATCCAAAAATAATAATCCAATCAATTTTAATATTAAGCCTATTACTAAAACTATACATATTGATATCATCACGAATGGCCAATATTTGAGTATCTTGAGATGCTTATTCTGTGGTTCCTTATAATTATAAAGCATCACGCCAAAAAACTTTAGTAAATTATGCCAAATGATAGCTTTTTTGAAATATTTTCAAGTTTAAATCAATTATTTTGAAATTTTAATACAAATTGATTAGTTTTTATCAGAGCTCGAAGTCGACTCGAGATTTTTTTTAATCAATTTTGTATGGTGAAGTCGACTCCGAGTTGACTCGACTTTATACAAAATTTCGTAAAATTCGAGCTCTGGCTTTTATGATTCAATTGATGGTTTCAACATCAATAAAAAGATTAGCATTAATGAAAATGCTTTAACACTAAACTCAATTAAACTTTTTAACATTAAGTCTTTTGACTAGGTTTTATATAAATCTAAGCTTTCGTATCGATCTTCATTAGGCTGAAGTTATCTTTGTCATTTTCATTCTGATAATATTCCATTCATAAAATAATACTCTAGCTCTCGTTCCTTTTTCTCCTAATTCTCTTCAATTAACAGTTCCGTTAATTGTTGCGTTCTGTTCCATATTAAATTATCTTTTCTAAAGTCAACAGTTAAACTTATGTTCAAAAATTGAAAAATATTTTAGAATAAATTTTGAAACATCTTTATTAACTTTTTAAATATTTTTAAAATCTTTTTATTTAATTTACGAATCGAAAATTTAAAATCTAATTTTCCAAAATTTATATACGTGTTTTTAATTGATTTTAATAAAATTGTATGGTATGCGATTTAAAAGCTATAAAAATCCCTCCTCATCAGTCACCAGGATTGCAAGGATAAAAACTAAAAACAGACAAATATTAAAATGTTCGTTATTTTTTCAAAAAATTGAAATTTTTCGCACTTTTTCACGACTTTGTTTACAAAAAAAAATTAATTCGAAATATAAAATTACAAATTTTCATTAATTAATGCTTTTTGATATTAAAATATGACTTTAGTAGGTTTATTTGACGTCTAGTAATACATTAAAACTATTTTGAAAAGCTAAAACACACGAAATAAAATGAAAAATTGAAGTAACAAATTTCAAAAAATGTAAACAAATTTTTTCCGAACACAATCGATCTGATTTAAACAAAAATGAGGGATGAAACAGGTTCGATAACAAATAAACTAATCAATAATCTCGTTCCAACAAAAATAACTTATGTTTAATCAAGACTCGTAACGGAGACGTTCATAATGTGGTCTAATGAAACTTGTAGGTACATGAAGGCTGAACTCGAGGGCAACAAGAACTGCAAATTCTGAAGACAACAACTCCTTGCGGTTTATTCTAAAGATGTTTTCTATTTTCTGTTTATAAAATAGAATTTAAGTATAGTCAATGATTTGAAACCTAAAACCTCAAGTGAGCATATTTTATGGACTTACCTCAATCAAACCTTTCAAGACTTCTCCTTTAACATCATTTAGTTTAGCACTGAGCAACAGACATGCACCAGCACACAATTTCCGATTGATTTTGTTAATTAACCCTGCCAAAATGAGCTTCTCAAAATATACATAAGCCTGAGCAACGGTCAGCAAATCAATTCTAGGATCAAGCTTATTAATCCGTCTCATATCTCTCTTTATTGATCTTAGTTTACTCAATGTCAATTGAATATGAGGATACTTTTCTCGAAATTTATCATTCAATTCCTTTTTAAGGTCTGCTTGTCGTACATAGTCAATGACACTAGTAAGATAGCTTGTAAATGTAAGAAGCGTACGATGTCGCCCAGCTGAAAGTTCTGGATCATCCAAAAGGTCAGCTGAGTAAGGTTCGTCTTCGACTTCATCAACATGACTGATGTAACGAATCATTCCATGATTTTTAAGAACTAAGGTATCTAAATGCTCGTGATGGTGTCGCTAAAATTCAAAACAAAAAAATTATCAAAAATTTATACAAAATTCAGTTTCACTTTATTTAAATTACCGGAACTTTTGAACCACTCCCACTGTTTGGTTTCGATGGTACTAAAAGATGTCCATAAGATACTTCAGCTTGTCCATCTAATCTTCTCTCAATACCTAATAAATTAAACGGATCGAATGGCTGATTTTCGGCAGTGCTCGACATTGGTCTCGATGTTGATGTCTGACGTCTTCTTGCACCACTTCCACGTACATCTAATTTTGCATTACTTCTAGTTATTGCACTCGATATCCTTTTACGGAATGGAATTATTGAAAATATATGCAGCGGCTTCTGATGTGTTGTAATAATGCAACGAGTTTCCTCGATTGTGAGGCAATGACCGTTCCGCAATGGCGGTGTTGGCTCATGAATGTGAACACATTTTATACGTGATAAGGACTCTGTGCTGGATGTTGCATTATTGAAATTATGTGGTGCTGTACAAGTACAAAGAGCCTTTTTAAGTAGCAATGCTTGTCGACGTTCGGCTATCGTTTCGTTGGAACTGCTGATGGTTCTGTGATTTGATATTAATTTGATAGTTAAGTTAAGGACTTCATTATGAAAGCTATATAATTTGGGAAATTTCCTTACCTGCCACGTTCCCTGTATGGTTGAAAATTTATGATTGAATTAAAAATTCCTTTCGGAACAGACGACGAAAGCTTCGCACAGTCTGAATCAGAGCTTATCGAGAGTCGGTCAGCCTCTTGAATTTGTCTATTCACTAAAAATTAGAAATAAATCATAATAATTTAAGATTTCACTAATTTTTCTGATCTTACTCTTGTCCAACATAAACTCTGTCTCGCTGTCATGCTGAAGAATCCTCTTTGATGCTCTCCGTGAACTATGATGTGTTGAAATTGCATGTGTGCCAAAAGGCGTATCGCGATGAGTTCCATCAAGTGATATATTTGATAAAAATGAGACAGCAGCTAATCGTCGTCGAATTTTAGACTTTTCAGCACTTGTATAGTTGTTTGACATCCTTATCGCAGACATTTGTTTGTATAATTAAGTAAATTTTTCGGTTATTTTCTTTGAAAATATATTCAATTTTCCATTTTAAACTTTTTTAGCGTATTTTCCTAAGGAACAATACGCTTTTATCTTCACTTTGGCTGGCTGGCTGGCTGGCTGGCTGGTACCGTGAGATCTCAGCAATGAAAGCATATAGAGCCTTCGGATTTTTTGCATTCAATCCTTGCCATATTGTAGGCAAACCGAATCCGCTTTATGTTTCATAACTTCTTACCAAAACTTAATTAAATTAACTTTTATATGTTTTTTGCAACGACTTAGCCGACTTTTGCATAACATACGAGTTTGATAAAACAATTTCAAATTTCAAAATAGCCGTTAAAATTTTGAACGTTGCTTCATGTAACGTAACTGGATTTTAGTTTTTGAGTTTCTGGATCTTCGTTTTTGGGATTGGATATGACTTTAGAGTTACTGTATCTTTGTTATTGGTGTTGGATATGACATTAGAGTTACTGGATCTTTGTTTTTGGTGTTGGATATGACTAAAGAGCTACTGGATCTTTGTTTTTGGTGTTGGATATGACATTAGAGTAACTGGATCTTTGTTAATGGTGTTGGATATGAGTTTTAAGTTACTGGATCTTAGTTTTTGGGATTGGAAATGAGTTTTGAGTTACTGGATCTTAGTTTTTGGGATTGGATATGACTCTAGAGTTACTGTATCTTTGTTATTGGTGTTGGATATGACATTAGAGTTACTGGATCTTTGTTTTTGGTGTTAGACATGACATTGAAGTTACGGGATCTTTGTTGATGGTGTTGGATATGAGTTTTGAGTTACTGGATCTTAGTTATAGGTGTTGGATATGACATTAGAGTTACTGGATCTTTGTTGATGGTGTTGAATATGAGTTTAGAGTTACTGGATCTTAGTTTTTGGGATTGGAAATGAGTTTTGAGTTACTGGATCTTAGTTTTTGGGATTGGATATGACTCTAGAGTTACTGTATCTTTGTTATTGGTGTTGGATATGACATTAGAGTTACTGGATCTTTGTTTTTGGTGTTAGACATGACATTGAAGTTATGGGATCTTTGTTGATGGTGTTGGATATGAGTTTTGAGTTACTGGATCCTAGTTTTTGGTGTTGGATATGACATTAGAGTTACTAGTTCTTTATTTTTAATGATGGATGTGAATGTAAAGCTACTGGATCTTTGTTTTAGGGGTTGACTATGACTGTAGAGCTACTGAATTTATGTTTTTGATACGGGACATGTTTTAAATGCTACCAGATCTTTAAAATAAAAATCTGGAACGAACTATTAAAGATCTGGTACGAAAAATTAAGGCCCTCAAACGATTTTGAGTTACAACTAAGTTTACTGATCAGTAAGAGGAAAATACGCTGAAGTCGCCCAGATCCAAAGTACTGGCGATCTTTTTACTAGTTTCTTCACAATTCTGATTATTTAATTTAATTTAAACTTTTTCGAATAGCTTTTGGTGAACTTAAGTACGATTTTTTGTCAAATTATTGGATAATTTAACAGATCAAGATTAGACGATTAAAAGTCACTTGATTGTATTGCAATACAAGATGAAAAAACGTAAACAAAAATGAGTAAAGTTTTTTTTCTTCTCAATCGAATATGTGTCAGTGTTTTTTGTTTTTGTTGGTCTGTGGCGACATCTTTGTGGCGAGTATGTTAAGTTTTTTTTTTTTTTAATATTGAATAAGTCAAAAAAAACTGCTTGCCTATTAGGCAACTTGTAATATAATTAATAAACCTAAAACTTTGATCTTAACCGCTGTTGAACTCCAATTTATCGGATATGGAAATCCTACATCTTGGATATACAAAACTTTCACCAAAAGTCGTTACAATCCCGCCAAACTTTTAAATAAATTTTTAAAAACAAAAGTTTCTGCATCATTTTACTTTTTATTTTGCATCTTTTCACACTTTAAAATTCCTTATAAACTCGCTCAGCTCATATTCTTATCAGTCACATCACAGACATAAAATTTCAATTATTTCAATCTCATCTCCGCATTTAACGAGCTTTTTCGTTTAAAATAGAATCAGGAATAAAAACTGAGTGTAATAATTATTTAAGTAATTATCAAGCTAGTGCAATTGTGTGAAAAAATTCATTCCAAAGTCCATAAAAGGCTAATTGTTATTTGACATTTCGGGTCACAAGAAGAAAAAAAAAATAAAAGAAAACGTAAAAAAAAGTCGATTTCCTATCAAAATATATTTTCTGTTCATTGCGTAACTGAAGACGTTAGAACAATTATTTGTGAATATGACACTGCCAACAGGAATCAACATTGATGAGCCGAGATATCCTCAAAATACTTATGTCAATCGTGCGAAACATTTTCTCATTGTGACAAATCCACTTGTAAGATTCGGTTCACAGTGAAATCCATAGGATGATTTTGTCAGAATTAATCTAAATGTTTATTAGAACTTCGAGTTCATTGTAGGCTTTTGTGAACAAAATTTGACAAAATAATCTTAAAGGACTTTCAACCCATTTAATTTCAATTGGCAGCAATTATATAATTGCAACATCAATTCTGCTCTTTGTAGAATGTTTTTGCTTCTGAAGAGTCATTGAATAAAGCTGCAAGAATTGTCAAAGACTACAAAGCCGGCAGACCAATTCCAGATGTAAAATCAGAGGATGAATTATGGAAGGCAAAATATTTGTATGATTCAGCTTTCCATCCAGATACTGGAGGTGAGTAAGAGATGATTCGAAAAATTTAAAAATCATGCAATTTGGGGGTGTATCCTCTAGTAATTCCCAACAGTTTATTAATTCTAAGTGGATTTCAAAAATAATTAAATAATTTCTATAAATAAAAAAATATTCTAGCGCCTAAGTGGTAGAGCGTCTGCCTTATGTGCAATAGGTTTTAGGTTCAATCTCAGGCCAAATCAATTTTTACAAGATATTTTTCCATTTCACTGTTATGGCTACGGAGCTCGGTTCATGTTTTGGGTGTAGTTTTGAGGTCTTTGGCACAAATATTGCCCCCTTTGCTAGGCATACTAGCATCTGGATAGTTTCATTGCGGCATCTTGCGAACAAGGATTGTGACTAGGTACATTGCTTTGTACATCAGGTCTTTAGACGTACTCGTGTCTTTGCAATGTGCAGAGCTTGCAAGTGGTTCGGATTCTAATAGCAAACAGTAGGTCTAAAGAATGTGGTACAATAGATTCTGTTTTAATTTGAATCGCAGTATCTACAGCTCAAAAGGCTAGGCTCTCTCCATGCTTTAATTTTTTAAAATAAGATATTGAGCAAGACAACTTATTTGCTTAGTAGTTACAATCACAGTAAAATCAAATTATCCAATAAAAATCATCTTAAGGGGATATACAATATCACTTAGATTCTCAACAACCGATAGTCATAATCCACTTCTATTGTGTATATTGACATGTTATGTAATCTGATTCTTGACGCATTTATTTGTATTGACATTCAATTTGTTTGCAAAACTTGTTATTAATGAAATGTTATTACACCTGTCAAAAATGAGAATAAATATTCTAGATTATTGATGGTGGTTTTGAATGTTGTCGTTATGCACGGATTAAGTTTTTGAGTTTACTATCTAATTGAAATGGAATATACGAAAACTTATTTTGACTAAATCTTTACATTTAATCTTCTACAACATTTTTTAGATGCTTTTTCTTGTTTTAAATTTCAGAGAAAATGATGTTAATTGGTCGCATGTCTGCTCAAGTTCCAATGAACATGACAATTACTGGAGCAATGATGACATTTTATAGATCGACTCCAGCTGGTGAGTGTTTTCTGATGACTTTAATAACATTAAGTTTGTCATGGTTTCTTTTGTATCTTCACCCATAAAAAAATATAAAAACTATTTTTAAATTCGGATGAATCTTGATTACTAATCCAGTACTCAAACCACTAAGCTACTGAATCATGTAATAAAACGTAGCAACTGCTCTATACAGGGGCGTGGCCAGGAATTTGAAGAAGGGGGGACAAAAATAGGGGACTTTTGGATTTTTTCAAAAAAAAACTTGCAATAAAATGCAATTTCTGTTAAGGTATGGGGATTTTTCACCCAAATTACCACCTGCCCCCTCTTCCCGGCAACGTACCTGACTATACAAATGATATATAAATGATAAATGATATTATAAGACTTAAAAACCACTTTAATTTTTTTTTTCGAAATTCATTTGAATTAATTAATTTTAGTAATTTTCTGGCAATGGGCAAATCAGTCTTTCAATGCAGTTGTAAACTATACAAATCGCTCAGGAGCTTCTCCAATTTCAACTGAACAACTGATGACTTCTTATTGTATGGCGACTAGTGGAGCTTTAGTAACTGCCTTGGGATTAAACAGATTAGCAAAGGTTTGAATTTGTTTTTAATGAACTTTCAACTAAAATTTTGAGTTTGACATTGATTGACAAAATTAGTAACTAATTTGCACTATTTAGAATTGTCAATTTATTTTCAAAAATTTTACCAATTTTTCGTTGCATGTCTTTTTTAAAAATTGAATATTCATCTACTTTTGACCCTTAATGCCCTTCAAAATTTATTCATCGATTTTGATCAAAAATATTTGTTGTTCCTGCACTTCAACATGTAACATTAACAAATCTGTAGAATTTAACTGGTGTTTTGCCTAAATTAGTCCCACTCGCTGCCGTCGCAGCTGCTAACTGTGTCAACATACCATTGATGAGACTCCAGTTCAGTATTGGTCCAATGTTTTATTTCTTATTGTTTTCAAAAAATTTTGATTCATTTATTTTAATTATACAGAGAGCTTAAAAATGGAGTTCCAGTTATAGATGAAAGTGGAAAAGAATACGGAAGTTCAGTCACTGCAGCTCAACAAGGAATCGCAGCTGTGACTTTGTCTAGAATTTTTATGGCGTAAGCAGTTGAAAAAAAAATTAAAATGAAATAATTTTAAATATTTTTTTTTGTAATTTCACAGTTGCCCTGGAATGGTCTTTACACCAGTGCTCGTTAATTACCTCGAAAAGAAGACAACGCTGTTCAAAAGATTCCCATGGGCGAACTCACCAATCCAAATCCTCTTCTGTGGTTTCGTCTTGACATTTGCAACACCATTATGCTGCGCTATTTTCACACAAAAAGCTTCAATTTCTGTTGATAGCTTGGAAGATGATTTGAAGCAGAAAATAAAGAAGGAAAGTCCAAGTGTTAAAACTGTCTATTACAATAAGGGATTGTAGACAGTCACTTTAGTTGAAACTCAGAAATTTATTGAAAATATTTTTTGATGCATTTAAAACTTTTATTTTTTTTAAGTTTCACATTTACGCTTAATTTTTTTTAAATCCTTAGTGTGGAATGTGAAACATTTTATTTGAACTTATTTAGAAACAAATTGTTTTAATTTAATTTTGTTGAAAATGTCTTAGCAATTTACGAAAATTTGAAGCATTTATTTTAAACTTTAAGTTTATTAAAAATATGAGTATGCAATAATTAAGGGCAAATCCACAAATAATTGGATAATAATTGAATATTTTTCATCAGAGATCGAAGCCGATTTTTTCGGCTTAACTCAATTTTTGATTTTTTTGATAGAAAAAAGCCATTTGACACCCATTTCAAGTATTTAAATTGAACTTTACATGCTTTACTATGATTCTGTGTAATATTTTGTCAGCATGTAGCTATAGGAAGCTCAGAATTTCAAGTTAAAGAATGTTAGGCCGAAATTTAAGCCGATCGGCTTAAAATCGGCTAAATTGAAATTCTGAGCTTCCTATAGCTACATGCTGAAAAAATATTTCACAGAATCATAGTAAAGCATGTAAAGTTCAATTTAAATCCTTGAAATGGGTGTCAAATGGCTTTTTTCTATCAAAAAAATCAAAAATTGAGTTAAGCCGAAAAAATCGGCTTCGATCTCTGTTTTTCATGATTTTCCAACATTTTAAGAAAATATTACCCAATGATCATAATTGCTTCTGTGGATTCGCCTTTAAAAGGATTTCATAACAATTTAAAATCAAAAATTTCATTTTCTTGTTTAAAAGAAAACTTTGAATCCTTCTTGATTATTTATTATCAAAGAACAAATTTTCATCAAATTTTGACTTCAAAAATTTTAAATTTCAACAAAAAATTAATATGAGGCCAATATTTTGCATATTGTTATTTTACTTTTTAATTAAATTGAACAATAAGCATGTGAAATTTAATTGAAATTTGGAATCAAAATCAGCTTAGGAGCCGTTCACTCAAGACGTCCAGGGGGGTAAGAGTCATGCAACAAAAGAACAAAAGAAGTTCCTAGAAATCCATTTTTCTTTTTTGAACAATGGACGTTAAATTCGGACATCAAAAGTGAGCGACCTCTTAATAAAAATAGTTTAAATTTGATGGACATTTTTTTAATAAAATCGATTGGAAAATAATAATTCGGTGACAATAAGAAATTTTGAAAATAAAAATTAATTAAAAAGTGTCAATTAAAAATGAAACAAATATTTTTTTTCATTTCAATAATTATTCAAAATTCGTTCTTTAATGCTTAAAAAATTAAAAATATTAAAATATTGCATTTATTGATATTGATTGTGTTTAAAATTGTTCTCTGAATTGACAATAATTAGAATTAATTTTTGATCGAATGATTCAATCAAAACTGCCACAAAACTTTCAATAAAAACTATAAACATGTTCCGAAATGTAAAACTTGCATTTTCTACAGTCAAGATAATGAAAATTCTAACCCTGATTTTCAAATACTTAAAAACTTGAAACTTAAATGCAATAATGTGTGTAAAATTTTCTGTAAACTTAAATGTGCTGTAAAGGAACTGATGGATCTAAATGGAAATAAAGATGTTATGAAGAAATTTGTTTTTTTATCTTTTTTTGTTATTCAAATTTCTAATTATAAAAATTCAATTTTAAACGAAATTAAACACTTTCAGTAAAAAATATATCCAACTCAAAAAGCGGAACTGCATTGTTATCATCTTTTATAGCCGTTCCATTTACTTCCAACTTAAACTTTCCTGATGGCAATGGCATTGGAACATCTGACTCGTAAACAGTCAAGCCATGAACGTAATAATGTCCCTTTAAAACTGGACACGCTGTCGTTAAATTTCCTACTTTTTTCATCTCTTTGTACATGAACTGAACTAAGGGATTGTCGGATTTCGGAAGATCACAAATTGATACTTTTTCGGTTTCAATTACTTCGTTGTATTTTCCGTCGATGAATGAAAAAGCCCCGAATTGGAGCTGAGAAATAAGAAAATATTTTTATTTAACTTTAATCGAAATAAACTTTTTAAAATCTCACCAAAACGTCCTTAGCATCACTAAATGCGTGAACATCAAGATCAATTGACTTTGGTTTTGTCGGCAGGATTTTAACTTCACAATTCCCAAAGGTACTATCCAGCACCCTCATTTCAGCCGAGTCTAGTGACAAGGATCCTGAAACAACAAACATTCCGTTTGTTATAATTAACAACAAGTTCATTACATTGACAGCTAACATTTTAATGATCAATGAGAAATTTTTGAGACAGCTTTTATTCCTTTTTTTAAATAGTTTTTAGTTTATTTAATATTTATTGAAATTTTAATTCCAATGGACTTTGAAATTAAAGATTGAGCTTTCATAATTTATGTCATTCGATGGTAAAACAATAAATAATTATTGAAAATTGTACGCAAAGTGGATGTAAAATTGCTACTTAAAATTAAAAATGTTGATACTTAAAAAAACGATTGGAACAATTTGGAATAATTTTATGTTATTAATGGTAAAAAAATTCTTTTGAAACTTAAATTACTGATTTATTTTTGCAATTATTTAAACTAAATTAGAAAAAAAAATTAATTTAACCTTCAAAAATCACCAACAATTGAAATTCAAAAAAAAATTTAAAAATAAAATAATTAAACAAATAAATTTGATCTTTCTTTTCATGACCTCTGAAATAAAAAATGATCAAAATCACAAAGCCGAAAATATCGACAATCAAAAATCGATTAAGGTTAAAAATGTTTACGGAAATTAAAGATCAAATTGATAAAATTCCAGAACTATAAAACCAGTAATTTTTAATTTAAAAATTTCAGATATAAAAAATATTTTAACTAAAAATGAAACTCACGATTTTGTTCTTTGTGTTGGCTTTGGTTGGTTCTGCTTTGTCGTGGGTAAGTCTATTCTATAAAGGGATTTTGTTTTTTTCATTTAATGACCTTGAATAATTTAAATAAAAATTAATTTTAATCTTAAGGGTGGCTACAAAATCAACTTTGAGCATCATGACTTGGAGTTTGATGAAAACATCATCAATGTTGATATCAGCATGAAGCGTAAGAATGAGCAGACTGTCGTTAATGTTCGTAGTGAACTTTTGGAGAACATTGAGGACGAACTTTATGTGGGTTTAAATATTTTGTTAAATTTAAATTTAAAAAACAATTTATTTATTTAAATTTATTTTAAAAGGCTCAATTCTCAACTTACGAGAAAGACAGCGATGGAGTTTACAAGCATTTAGTAAATGCAACTCTCAATGCATGCAACATTTTGGCTCGTGTCAAGTCTCATCCAATTTTGAGACTCATCATTAAGGAGCTTTTAAAGTCTAGTAACTTCCCCATGGTATGCTCAGTAGATTGATATTTATTAATTATAAAATTAATTTAAATGTTTTTAAATCACAAGGCTTGCCCAATCAAGAGAGGATTGTACTACATGAAAGACTTTGTTCTTAATGAAGATATGTTGCCACCATTTATTCCACTTGGAAGTTTCATGTCAATTATTCGTATTATTCGTATGGTTGATGATGAGCCACAGGCAATCGTCAGTGTCCGCGTTATGACTGAAATTGACTATCCAAAAGAAAGAAAATCAAGATTCTTTTAAGCTGTTAGTGTTCACCCGTGAATTGTCTAATATATTGGGTTCATAAAATATATTTTATTTTAATTAATTGACGGTTTAACTCCGCACAAAGAAAATGAATCAATTTTTATTAAAAACACGTTTTTATGTTAATGAGGAAGTTCGATGATGATCAGCGCTGAAATGCATAAATGACAAATGAGCAAGAATATTGTGAATATTTATAATCATGAATAAAAAAAATAACAAAAGCAAATTTAAACAAATTTTTAAGACTTTTTGTTTTTTCGTTGTTTAAACTATTTAATTTTTTATACAATATATTTGAATGGTGATCGTAGTTCGATTGAATGATCGAATTGTAGGTCTATGCTTTAATTAAAAAGGTATAACATGAAGAGAGCCCAGCCTTTTGAGCTGGAGGCACTGCAATTCAAATTAGAACAGAATCTATTGTTCACACCCTTTAGACCTACAATTTATAGTGGGATCCGAACCACTTTCATCTAGTCACAATTCTAATAAAAACTCCATTTTTTTTAAGATTGATTCCTTTTATTGCAGTTTAGTTTAAACTATTAATGCAAAAAAAAAATATAAGATACATTTAAGAAGCTTAATTATTATAGTTTTACATATCACACCACAAATGCTTTAAATAAAGATGCTCTTTTAAATGAGTTTTGAATAAATTAATGCTTACAAACTTCTTCACTTCAACTGGAATATTATTAAACTCTGCAACGGCTCTAATAAAGAAATTTTGAGCGCCAAGTTGAGTGTTTGTCCTTTGAATCACTAAATTGTTGGCGTTTCTTGTGGCATGCCTATGAATTTGGTTTACATATTGAAATGGTAGATTAAGTTTTGCAGTGTTATTTATTAATTTAAAAACTAAAATAGCTGATGATAGCTGACACATTGCTGAGACAGGCAATACTTTTTCAGAATAGAGTTCAGTACGTTTGCAAAGATTTGGTTTACAGAAAACAATTCTTATTGCTTTCCTTTGTACAATTTCGATTGAAGTTTGGATTGAACATACGCGAAATAAAGGGTAAGTGCCGTTTGCTCAGAAATTAATGGGCGTGTTTTTTTTTAAAGCGAAAATAAAAGAGACCAATTTCTTTTGTAGTTGATAAATATGAAATGAAAACGATAATGTCTCATCGATTTCTAATTCCAACAGATTAGCATGCTCAAGCCGTTCAATAACTGTGCCATTAAATCTTATATTCAGGGCTATTTATATTAGGACGTATAGAGACTAATATCCCAAAAATATCCTAGCATATCCTGTCATCAAACTTTGAATCCCACTTGAAATTTCAACTAGAAGTGATGAGTAATTGAGGGATTTCAATTAGGATTTGAAGATTGAATGCAAAAAGTCCTAATTTTTTTCAGATTATTCCTGAGTGCAAGTGCCTTGATTTATCTTATAACACTCTAATGCATAGTTCGGTTTAAGATTATTTTTTAGTTTCTCATTACATTTTGAATAAACTAAGGGATTCGTTTTGAATCAGAGTTGTCAGATAATGACTTTTGGAAAGGTGCCTCATCAGAGCATGGAAGCTTTTGACTTTGTCCAGGCAACACCTATGGCTAGACCCGTCTTGGCAAATTCGAATGGCACAATTCGGTTAATCGATCAGAAATCCGGCATCAAGCAGGTGTGACTTGCTTGGTGCTGGATTTCTATTCAATTAACTGACTGGTGCTATTCGAAAAAGGTAAATTTTGACGCCGTTCTAGAGGCAATGCCTGGGATAGATTTTTGCCATTGATAGGAAATTGGTAGGTGGCAACTCTGGTTTTGATTTTCTTTTACCATAAAAATGATCCTTTCATGTCTATTCAATCAATCAATTTTATTTCATTCAAAAGATAGAACTGGCAGGAATTTCCAGTAACCAAACCAAATTTGAGCTTTTGCTTTATTAATCGCCAAACTATGAGTCAGCCTCTATGTAAGAGATTGGTGCATCTTGTTGATCTCTTGTTCAAACTGGCTCATGCACACCTTTAGCAAGTTAACGACCTTTATAAATATTTAACCTTTTTATATTGAAAGCAATTAAGACAATTGATCGGTACTTTCCCACACTTTAACCCGATGACATTGAACAATTAATCGAAATGACTCATCATTTTCAACTAGCAATGTTTTTTTTATCAGAAATATAAAATCAATAAAAGTTTTCAATTTACATCCTGCTTTATGAATTTCTATAAATATTATTTTTGATGATTATCAACAGCTTTTGTTTAATTGGCTGGATCCAATTTAAATGATATCGTCTTTTTTGTTCAATTCAGTATATAAAGCTTATGAAAATTGTAAATGGAGTGTTGATTACTTTTTGGAATTTCAAAAAGACAACAATGAAAGTCTTCGTATTGTTATTTTTCATCGCTGCGGTAAGAATTTTAAAAATAAGTTTATAGTTTTTTTAAAATTAAACTCAACAAAAACTTTAAAAAATTTACAGGCAAACGCTAAGCTTCTTATTGAAAAATGGGAAATGCAGGTTGACAGTACTTATTCTGATGTTAAATATAGCGTCAAAGATCAAACCTATATGACAATTGATGCACATACATTAAAGGCTGCTGATGATGTCGTTGTATGTATCCTAAAGCTTTTGACTAATATTTCTCCTTCATATCATTAAAATCTGCTAATCAACAGATTGAAGCAGCTGTCTACTCAAAAGTTGACGGCGTTTTTAACCCGTTTGTAAAACCAGAGCCAATTCATGTCTGTAAAATTCATGAGCATGAAGATCCTTTGATTAAATTTATCCATGATGAAATCATCAAATTCGGAAATATCACGAAGGTAACAGCAATTCTTAGTATCTTTTACTTATCAAAATTGTTTATGAATTCGACATTATTTTATCCAGGCATGTCCAGTCCACGCCAACCATTACTACTATCTTCATGATTTCCGTGTATTAGAACAAGACTTCCCAATGCCTTTACCAGCTGGAGAATTTCGTGTTGATGTCAACGCATCTTACATTGAAGGTGGAAACATGAGACACGTTGCATCAAGTGAGACTTATTTCAAGATTGTACCATGAATTGTTAAAATATATTCATGACCAAAAAGCTAATCAAATCAATATTTTATATTTTATAAATAAATTATTAATCATCTAAAGAGTACAGGACACGAAAATACAAGTTTTTTTTATTCTTTGTGAACTTCAATTGGTCGAAACGGCAAAAAAGAATCGTGTAACATAGATTGGCATTTTTAAAGCGTGAAAACTCAGAATTAATCCTGAAATATCCCAAAAATCCAAAAAAAAATCCTTGAGCCAATAAAACATAAAAATGTGAAATCCCTTTAAATCCTTGATGTATTTGATAAATAATAGTTTCATGCTATTATGATTTACATTTGATGCTTAGCTGAGTTGGTCGTTGATAAGTCTAGTCCAGATGGCTTTTCTTTGGGTCTCTTAGCTTTAATTTAAGGATGGCGGATTGCTTTGACAGCGCACCCTGTATTAACCTAAGCTTAGTTTGACTCCCCTCCCACTATGTGGCTTGGATTAACGGCTTCCATCGCAAGAAGGTGAGGTTGGTACTTGATCTGGTTAGTCTAAGTGTAACTCAGAGCTGCATATGTTCCGCAACTTTAGGAGAGCCTTTATAGATACATTCTAAGCTGTTCCTTGGAATAATGCAATGAAACTGAGCTTATAAAACTTACCCAAGAGCTCCAAAAGCTACTTGGCGCAGAACAGTAATGAAAGAATGTCAGCTTAATGTGTGGACAAAGAATTTGTACAAACTAGACTAAACCGACAAGGCCAGCAACAGAGTCAGATGAAAAGCCTTTTGTTGTAACATAAGCTTTACATAGAAACATGGTTAAAGTAAGTAAAAGCTTATAAAACTAAATAGATCTCAGATGAGCAAACACAAACGCTTTTTAAAATACGACACTAGTCTTTGAATTCTTCTTTATAAATAACCTATAAATGCTCTTTCGAAACTTTGTTACTTTCCCGAACGAGACAATTCGGTTAATCGATCAGAAATCTGGCACCAAGCTTGTGTGACTCTGACATGGTGCAGGCTACGATTTAAATTCAGCACCATGCCAGTGTCACACCGGCTTGGTATCGGATTTCTGATCGATTAACCGACTTGTGCTATTTGGGTTTGCAATAAACATTTGATCTAAGAAAGAAAAGAAGAACTTAGTAGAGTCATCAGAATATGTGTCGGAAATGTAGTGCCTCCAGCTGTTCCTTGGAATAATGCAATGAAACTGAGCTTAGAAGTAAGTAAATTCATATTAGAATGTTAATTAAAATTCAACTTATATTTTGTTCAAAACTCTTGTTTTATTTATTTTGCAAAAATTCTTCATTTAAATATTTTTAAATTACAATAATTGTCAAAAAATATTACTTGCAGCCAATTTCCATTGAACTATTGTTTATTTTAGCTCATGTAGTAGTATTTGTCAGTATAGATTTCATGCAAGAATCCATTCATCTTTATAAAAGCCGAAAAATCAAATCTATAATTTCCAGATGGCAAATGATGCGGCAAATCATCAGAATCAATCTTAAATCCTCTCAATGTGTAATGTCCAACTTTTAAAGGACATGCTTGTGTGATATTTCCATACTTTTCGCTTTCCTTGAAAATAAACTTCAAAATTGGATCATTAATTTGATCATGAGTGCATCCACTGACTAGTTCTGATTTGTAGACTAATTCATAATGATCAACATTCTCTTTAAAGACTGTTGCCATATATTGGATGTCAGTTTCTTCTTGAAGAACGTCAAGATCTAAATTTACAACATTTAAGTTATCAACTTTTTGCAAATGGGATGAAACTTTGATGTACTTTGGATCAATATCGACTTCAAGGCGTTGCATGTCAAGAAATTTTGCATTCTGTGAATAAAATTTGATAATTAATAATTTTAAAATGTTTGAAAAACTGAAAACTATTTTCAAAATCATCAGTTCTTTTTGAATGTTCAACTTACAGCATAATAAGCTCCAACAATGATCAAAATTCCTGCAATAACTTTCATTTTTAAATAATTAAAATAAAATGTTTATAAAACTTGAATAAAATTCAGAAATAAACTGATTTGATAGATTTTAAGCTCACCATTTTTATACTGTCCAAAATGAAAACAATTAAATCATTTGAAATTTTCTATTTCCTGCCCAAAGTATTTAATCAATTTGACATTGGTTGTTTTGAAACTTTTTAAGAAAATTGTTAATTGCATGGGGAATTTTATGGAACGTCAGTTGATAAATTAGGTTTCGTGAGATTTTTTTAACATTGATTAAAATTTTGTAATGTTTTCCTCATGGTAAAGTTGTTTTGGAAATTGATCAAAGTTCTAATTCAAAATTATTAAAACCAAAAAAAAAAATTGTACAAAAATATTTAAACTTCAATTTATTTTTGTAAAATTTCAACAAATAATTTTTTTATTTTATTTTAACAATTTTAAAAATTTATTACAAATATCAAAGTGATCCGATGTTTCATCAAGGACTGGTCAGTGGACGATGATGTCCTTGGAAACTACAGAATAAGTCACAAGCATCAAAACTGTCAAATTGGTTGTCATTTCCACCACAGCCAAAATATTCGAATGGTTCGCAAAATTCTTCAGTTGTACTAAAATGATAAAGTTCAACTGGTGTTGAGAACTCGTCACATGGAAAGCCAACATCTAGTGGCTGTGTACATCTGGCAACCCCAGATGGGGTAAACGTAACTGCACGTGGGGTTGTAACTGTAACGGAGGCTTTTTGGAAAAAATTATAATTATATTTCAAAAAATGCTTTAAAAATAAAATGATAACTTAATTGGGAAAGCTCGGGACTTAAAGCACTAAGGACCATCAAACTAGTTCATAATGGATTTTCACATCACGTAATTAAAGAATTAATTTTTAAAAATTTTGAAAATCGTGTTTTTTTTTCAAAAAAAAAAGAAAATTATCCTTACAAACATCACTGCCACCACAAATCACAGTTATAATAAAAATAGAACAAATATAAACTATTTCTACAAAAACTTTCATATCAATAATATTTTTAAAAAGAGCTTAGGTTGGTGCTTAGCGTTACCTTTTTTTAAAATACTAAACTGACTTAATGTAAATTTCAAAACTATTTAAATATTTGAAATTTTTCTTTCATTCACGATTTTAGAATTAAAATTGTTTCGTGATTCACGATTTCTATTTATTATGCAATTAAATTGACATCAATTCACTAAAACTTGCTAAATTTGTCCTTTGTGTTTTTGATGCACTTATAGGTCTACTTTGGTTGGCTGGATAGCTGGCTAGCTTACTTGCAGCCATATAATTGCAAAATACGTTTTATGTGAACACTCAGATCATTTAGTCCGTAGGATAATTCAACAACTTGAGCTAGTAAAGACTTTAAAATTTAACCAAAAAATAAAGACAAATGAACTGCTAAATGGGGCGATCTATGCCATGATTCATAGGTATTAGCAAAACTTTGAGTTTGATGTGTCCGTTTGACTCATTGGATGTTAGTGAAGTGAGAATTTTGCATTACAGTTGCAAATGGGATGAATCTTTCTCAAGCGATCGAGTTGTTTCTGTGGCATCGAAAATGGAACTGTCATTTGAAATTACTCATCAAATGGACCAGGGATTTAAAAGGGATTTTTCAGGATTTTTGGGATTTTAGGATTAATCCTGAGTTTGAATTCCATGTTTTGAAGAAAATTGATTATTAAATGCCGAATCTGAAAGAATTGAAATTTAAAAAAACACACATTTTAACACTAGAAAGCTAAAGCTATAGCCTCGATAAATAAATTAATTTATTGGTTTTTTTCTGTAAAATACTTTTGCATTTAATGTCTTTCGACTTACAATAATTAATTTAAACTCAAAATATTTTTATTTGTCTTGGTAAGCAACCTTATTTGAAAGTAATGATAAATACACGGTTTACATTTTTATCGATTAACCAAAATTCCTCGAATATAATATAATATTTTAATATTATCAAAATTCAAATATTTAACTCATGATTTTAAAGTAAGTTATCAGAATTTTTCCATTCAAAGTATATTATAGCCTCAATTATTAAGGTTCAGTGTTTCCTCTTTTTTAAGTAGTTATAAAATATGAACACTTTTTTAAATTAAACAATTTTTAAGCTCAAGTTAAGCCTTTATGCTATCTATTCATCTTCAGTAAATATGTTTTTTCATAAATTACTTTAAATTCATAAATAAAATTTAAGTTTGAATGTTATAAAAATAATTCTAGAATATTATTTTATTTAAACCTCAACCCACCCCTGTTATGTTATTTATAAATGACCCCAAAGAAAAGACGAAAAACATTCAGGTAACTTAAATTAGTGGCAGCGAAAAAGCAATGGTAGTTCGAGGGGAAGTGACATTCCATGGACATAATAATCTAATAGATTTTATCGACTGAAACCATCCACCTCGATCAAGGTTCCCGTAGATTATAATCTTTTAAAAAAGAAGATTATAATGTTGGTACGGGATTATTTAAAGATCATAATCTGCGGAAGCTTTGACCTTTATGCACATCTGTGTAACGGAATTAAAGACTTTGGTTCAGAGCTCGAAGTCGACTCGAGTTGACTCGAACCCTAACGACTTCGAGCTCTGCTTTGGTTTAAAGTGATTCACTATGAACATTTTGTTAACGACCCTAGTGAGGAATTTAGATTTTCAATTAAGATTTTTATGGTTTTATATTTTTTAAAAACAATTAAATAAAAAAAAATATTGATAGATGATTAAATTATTTCCAGACTTAATCCTAAAGTTAAGAAGCTCATTTTATTTGTTTTTAAAGCTTTTTCTAATAATTAATAAAGCTTCAAGCTCACTCGACCCATCAAAATAATTTGGAATTTTTGTGAAATTTAAATGAGTTAAATTTAATTTTTATGTCTTTTATTTTAATTAAAGAATGAAATATGAAAATTTATTAAGATATAGCTTGCAGATACGATGACAGTTTTAATAAAAAGCAAAATTTTGCACTGATTTTCGAATAATTTTCTCAAAGGTGCGCAACTGATAGATTTCATTTGATCAATTATTGATCATTTCATCAGTTCCACATGCTTGAATTTTCTTCAAAACTTCAAAATCGATGTGATTAAATAGTTTTGTTTTTTAAATGAAAGATTTTAAAAAGGCGATAAAGGTACATACGGAAATGTCAGGATTGAATGTTTTTATAATTATGTCTTACATGTTATCCATTAAATTTACCTTCCCTTGGCAGTTTTATGCTTAATTTTTATACTTCTTCATCCTTTCATATGCACTTTGTATTGACCAAATTGATAATGGTCTCATGTATCCAATTGACCTGTATGTTGACTTTACATACATAGCTTCAGGTGTTTCAAATGAAAGTCCAACCCTTTGTGCCATCATATCATAAAGACCACCAGCAGTCTTCATAGCCTCTTCTGTCATATCCTCGTAAATCATTGTTGATGCAAGCGCGTACACAACTCCAACCCAGATTTCTTCAGATTGCTGGAATTATTTGGTATTAAAAAATTATATTAATCAGTTGCAACTAGTGTTTTTATAGGATAGCTATTAGAAATTCTAGAAACCCTGGTTGCATTCGTTCGTTCGTTCGTTCGCAAAGACTTGATATATTGGCTATGTTACCATCGTCAAACAATTAAAAGTCCCATAACAGCTTTTAAATGCTTTATTTGGAAAACACGCGAAGAGTGCGTTTAAAAATTTGATTTTTTCTTCTGTTATAAAAAAATTATTTGGGGTGCGTTCAGAATTCAAATTTATTTTTACCGTTAAAAATTTAAATCCAAATAACAAATCCTTATGAATTCAATCGTGTTTTGTGAAAAATCAATTCATTTGGAGCTATTTGCTTATTGACTCGCGTTGTGGGTAAAAAAATACTGATCACTGTGTCAAAAATGGCTGTTAACTCACCATCATAGCAGTATCAGGTCCGGCCAACTCCGGTGAGAATCCATTTACTGCACCAACCTTCCCACCTTCAACCTTCATAACATTATTCTCAAAAATTGTTTTCAAAGTTGCTCGAACATTCTCTTTGGGAAAAATTTCATGATCAAATCCACAACTTCTCAAATACCAATGTCCACACAATTGATCAGACATAATATTCTTAGTTCCACTAGTATCAAAGTTGTAATAGCTTCCATTCCACAACTTCTCTTCAATTGACTTTTTTCCTTTTTCAAGAATTTCTCGGTATCTTATGCAGTCATTTGGTTGATCTAGGATTGCCGCCATAACTGACATCACATGAAGACTTGCTAAGTATAAGCCACCACAGTAAATACTTGGCCCAGACATCACCCATGTGTCATAAGTTTGATCTGGACTGTTATTGTTCTCAATCAAACCATCGTCATCTAGATCAAATTCTATTGTCTTATCCATAACAGTTTTAGATACTTGATACATGTCTTTTAAGTACTTCATGGCATCCATTAGGTAGACTTTACCATTAGCTTCATTGATGTACATCGATGCTGACTTTTTGCCTGGAATTGTTGTTAGTTCAAAGTAAAGCTAAGCTTAAGGATTTCATAAAAAAAATACTCACTCTTGTCATCCATCATTTTATTCCGATTATCCAAAATAATCATCTCGGAAAGACTTTCCTTGTCAATAAACTCAATTGAACTGAATTTGCTAGCATTATCAGCACTAAGCTGAGCAAACTCGTTAAGCACGTAGTAATCGCGATAAACTTGCAGAATAAATTTACAATTTAAATCACGCCATTCGCTGACGTCATGAATTGGATAGGAGTTAATAAGATTCCATGGATCTTCAGCTGAAAATGGATCGAAATTAAATCTTTACTTATATTCAGCATTGAAGGCTCTTATTGACTCACCTGGATCTCCAATGTCATGTACAACAGTGTCTTTAATTTTACGTGGACACACTTTTCCATCATAAAGATGCTTTCGAGTGTCTGGAATTTCTCGTGTTATTGTGTCTTTAATATCATATTGAATGCTAACCTGAAAATAAAATTTATTGTCCATTAAATGAAGTCGTTTCAAATATTTTTGAGAATCCTTATAGAAGGGCGCATAGCGAGGAGGGTCTTGTCCCCCCCCCCCCTTTCCCCCTAAACGTTTTGAAACGCATAAGAGAGGGACAAGATCCTCCTTGCTACGCGCCTGCTTATAGCTTAAAAAGTAATCTGATTAAAATTAATTCATTCTTACTTGTAAATTTGGAAATAAGCTAATTAAACTATGGCTAGCGTAAAAATGAACATCATATGTGTTGTACATTCGGTATTCGTGTCCTTCTAGGTATCCAAAAATTCCGTATGCATGCCTAAAGACAGAAAAATGTTTAACTGAACTTTCTTATTAGATAATGGGATAATACCTTGGATCATCAGCAGCAAGTTGATTCTCATCATCAACGACCGCCCACAAGGTTCCACCATCAGCAATATAGTAAAGCTCGTTAAAAATTGCGCCTTTGTACCAATCGGGAAGGTTTCTGAAAATTCAAGGTTAAACCAGAGTTGCTATAAGTATTTTTAGGTCTAAACTAGACTTTACTCACGAATCTTCTAATATCGGCTTCTGCCATTCATCCATCATCAACTGCTCCCATTTTGAATAATTTTTAAATGCATAATCCATAATTTTTTCACCCGCCTTTCCATCATCTCCAAAATATTTTGTATAAAATCTAGTAAACCATCTTTTTCCTTTTGGGAACCGAACTTTGGGCATATCCCATACTAGACCAAATTCAATTTCATCTGATGACTTTGGTTTCAACGTTTTTTGTCCACAGACAGCAACACACACGTCTTTGCCTTCTTTTACACTCTTATCATCACTTTTGTTGGTTATAATTCCATTCTCGTTCAAATCATTCCACAATCCACTTCCATTACCGTTCGGATCAATTTTTACAGCTGATGTAACCTTCATGTCCTCATCACTTGCCTTAAAGACACCAACATGATAATTGCATGGCATATCGACGATGTTTTGTACAATTGTTGCACCTTTTGCCTCGTCTGTGTCAAAAGTCTCAGCTTTCGGGCACCCAGCCAAGTCCTGTTTCTTATTTCCCATTCCATTCTTCCATGTAAATGTTATAGAAACTTTGCGTTCATGTTCGCAGACATTTTCAATTTGCCAGACGAAAATTGCGCATGGAAGTGACGAGTCTTTATAATTATGTGGAATTATTGGAGAAATTTGCCGACATGTAAGCTTGATTCCATATTCGCTCAAATCATATTCTGACCATGAACGTGGATAAAGTGCGGTGTAGTTACATTTTGATGGATCTAGCTTGCTCTCCCATGAGGAAAGTACGTTCTTTGGTCGGCTAAAAGAGATTTAAATTTGAATAGTTTTAAAAACTTTCATTATAATTTAATTTCATTTAAAGTTAAAATTGAGTAACAGAAGTAAATAAATTTTACAATGGAATCAAAACAAAGCAGTACAAAAACTGAACACGCGAAAGTTTTAAAATCAAGATAAAGAAGAGAAAAAGGATTTTGTACATAAACATGCACTTGAACCTAGTTAATCAATATTTTAGGACTAAAATTCATATTAATGGCATTAAAGGTGTTTGGGTTGAATTTAATGTTATTCAAAATTAAGCCAATAAAATTGTTTTAAACCTTTCTTGTACATAAAAGAAATACATATGGAATCAATTCCTATCTTTTCAAAAATATTCAAGTTCAAAAACGGTTTGCTGAGTGTCGAAAAAAGGACTATTAGAATAATATAAAGTATGACTAATAAAGGTAATATTTAAAAAAGGGGCGCAGTAAAAACAAGGTCTTGAAACAATCCAAGTTTCAGCTCGAAATTCAAACTTGGACCGGCGTACTTCACACACGCACACAAATGCAATCGAAAGCATACAACAATTTTTTTTCTATTGTTTTTAAAAGTGTCTTATTTTTTATTAAAACGCGATGTTAAAACACTTGCGTGACAATATTTGTAGACACATTTTTAATTCTTTGTATTTTTTTCTTTAAAGAATGAGTTTAAAACTTTAAACAAAAGTTGAGACACAACAAAATTTAAACAGATCAATTTTGAACTAGGCGCTGGAATCTTGGCAAAAATACAATCAAAGCGTGGAAACTCAGGATTAATCCTGAAAAATCACAAAAATTTTAAAAAAATTCTTCTAAGCCAATAAAACATGAAAATGTAAAATCTCTTTTAATTCTTTGATGAATTTGATAAATACTGTTGAGATTTAAAAGGGATATCACCAAGATTTTACATTTTCATGTTTATTGGCTAAGGGATTTTTTATAATTTTTGAAATTTTTCAGGAATGATTCTGAGTTTTCACGCCTTGAATACAATCTTTAAGAATCACAAAAGCCTTTTTTTGTTAAATTAAAAAAAAATGAATAAAAGAATTTTTCAAGCTTTAAAAAAGTTCAATTTCAAGAATTATTAAAACCGGCTTTGAATTGAAAACATAAACAAAATTGCATGCATTTCTTCGGTCAGTACACTCAAGACCTTGAAATATTTTTTTATGAAAGAAGACAGTGAAAACGAAAATGTGAATAAATTGGATTAATTTAGCAGTTTTGAAAAGAAAAAATGAAGGATTCTTCAAATTGAACTTAAGCACTATGGCTGTGATATTCTTATTGATTGTATGCTTAAAGAGTGTAAAAGATTCCAAACCCTCCTCTACCCTACTCTTCTGGTTTTATCATTTTATGACAAAAAAATAAACTAAAGCAGTTCAGACCTTAAGATCCAAAGCTGTGCGTTACATGCTTTACAAGGCTAATGATAGTTTAACGAGAGAGAGAGTTCGCTAGATCTCCCGCTCAATTCATCATATTATGATATGCTACATCAGTGTTGTCCCAAATGTTTGAGCCACGGCACACCTGAGGAGTAAGCCATGACTGAAGTCGAACACAACATGCGCCTCGTGTCAGTTTAAAAAAGTTCCAACAGCACACTAGTGTGCCGCAGCACATGATTTAAACAACACTGATTTAGATTATCAAATTTCCTATCGATTTCGTGTACTCAAAACGAACAAGTCGTAAATTGACTGATTGACAGCCTTTCGGAGGTAATTATCAATGTGAGGAAGTAATTTTATTCAAAATAGTTTTTACATTTCCCAATTACTAAACTATTAAAAATTATAATTACTTTATATAAAAAAATTGAACCAAAAACTCATTATAAAAAAAAAATCAAAGGTTTAAGATCATTTTCAATGTCAAAGATAAGAACAGAATATGATTATATGAAGGAGTTATGAAAAGAAGTTGATCAATTCTCAAAATTTATTAATTGCAGTTTTATTAAAAATAAATTGGATGAGAAAAATGGTTTTTGGGGTAGTTTCTTGGTAATAAGGCTGCATTTAAGCTTAATAATCCTTTTTACATTATTTTGATCAGTTGCTAATAATTGTCTCTCCCCTCAAACCCCATCTCTCAAAAAACACTCACCTGTACGACGACAATAAGCTTTGGAAAATGGTTTTATCATTTTCATCACGAATATTCACAATAAACTGATTTGCATGAACAACATTCCATTCATAAAGACCCGGTTTTAATTGATATCGACAAAATTCTCCTGCAAATCCACGACCAATTGTGCCTGTAAATCAGAAAATTTTTGATAAGATAAAAAGAAATTCAAGGGCAAAAATATTTTTTTTTTTTGACAGCATGGAAGGTCAAAAGTGACATTGAATAATCGACACTTACCACCTCCAATACCACCAATCGGACATCCATAAATTCCATCATGATTTCTCATGCTAAAATAATCCATCAATACAGGATTTCCGTTTTTCGCATTTCTCCAATAATACGGAACATATCGCAACATCATCGGCATCAAGTTCCAAATTTGCTTCCATGATGGTTTCAAGTTTTGCGAAAAATTTTCCTTATCCGGAAATTTATGATTGAATTTAAACTTTAATCCATATGCCGGTACTTGAGTGATTGTCTGCTTAAAGTCCGTAAAGCTTTGTGATGTCTCATCTTGTGACATTTTTGAGGATTTTCAATTAATTTTGAACTTTTTTCGCCCGGCAAATAAAAATTTCTTCACAATTTTTTTTTCTTTTTTCAAAACTTATTCTCTTGTTTATGTTGACGACTGATTTGTGTGAGAGAAACTTGAAGAATGAGAATTTGAGAATAAATGAGGGACGAAAAACTGAGTAAAACTTTTTTTCACAGCTCAGAGAAGCGAAATATTGAATGATGCGAACAAGAATTATTTTTGATGCGAAAATCATATGTTGCTATTAATTTGTTTTTGTTTTGAAGTTTTTTGAAATTTTTTGTTCAACTGAAAATCAAAGATAAAGATTCAACTTTTTAATTTTGTTTTATATTTCTTCCTTTATTAACATCAAGCAGTTTCACATTGTATTCTACATCAAATGAATGAAAAAAGCAAATACAAGCAATGAAGAGGTTCCTTAGCAAATTTATTATGTCGCTAGGGATCCAGTTTATAGTGAAATATATGAAACTAGAAATCAATCGATTATTCAAAGAGCTTCAGTCCTTCTATAAAAGTTATAAAGTGGGATAATTTGTGTCAAAAATTAATATGTTAATCCTAACAGACAAATGTGTATACTCATGGTACCGTAACATAATAATAATGTGAGAGGGTTCCAGCCAAGCTATGTGTTACTACACGTTGCGACGAGCCGGAGGAACTGCGTCCTAATCGATGATGGAATCTATTGTACCGTTCCCTGTGAATGAGTTTAGATAGTATTAAGAAGCTCCGGTATACAGAGTATGTTACGGTACCATAAGTTTGCTCACTTGTCTGTTAGAGGAACGATTTTAAATACACCAAGGCGTGGATACTATCCCAAATATTCTATTTATCCTATTCCATCTTTAAAGGTTGCTAGAGATTTGTGTAAGTTTAATGAGTCAGGTGTGACTTTGGTATGGTACTGGATTTAAATCGAAGCCAGCACAATACAAGAGTCATGCTGGCTTGGTGCCGGATTTCTATTCTATTAACCGATTTGTGCTATTCGAGACTACTTTCTAACTTAGACGTATAGTTTAAAGTAGGATCCGAACCACTCTATTGATGACATTCCTGCCTGTAGACTACAAAAGAAGGTTGTGAGCTTCATATCGAGTGCATATGATTCGAAAAAGTTCCCATACCAGGTCTCGAACCCACAATCGCTGTGTTAGTTTTGCAATAATTGGTTACATAAGTGCTAATCCATTCCGCCACCGAGCCACTTCAGCTTACTCTATTTATCTCCAATATCTTAATAATATCCATGCAAATACCTGAGCTTGTATGCATCCAAATTGAGCTATCTCAGGAAATTATATGTCCAATGCACTAAGGATACACTAGACTACCTTAATTCCCGTGCATAAGCAGTTAAGTGCCTTGCTGGTCAAATAGGTAAGGCGCTTGGCTCAAATTTGGGATGGTAACTCAAAGGTCGTCGGTTCGAATCCAGCCATTTTCAAATTTGTTCTTTTTCGGAAGTTTAGATACTTCGACTGCTTAATGTAGGAGATCAAGCCATGATTGGGCAACGTTGGATTAAGGAACGGGTCATGAACTTGAAGTATAGCGGGAGAAATAGGAACGAAAGCTACAAGATTACCCACGAATGGAATATTGTTAGAACGGACCTGAAAAGTATCACGTCACGCCCACAGAAGATCGAAACGAGAGCCTTAGTTTATTTGAAACCTAGATATGAAGATTAGAAATTTGATCCTACATAACATTAATTCATATGTATACAAATACAAAAGTGTAAAATGTGAATTATACCGGACAGTATGTCGTCAATAAATGCAATAAAGTGCAATTAAAATGAAAAAAAAAATACAGGCTCATGGATTATTTAGGATATTTGGAACAAATGTTATATTTTGGATAGTTTCCACGCCTTCAAATTTACATGTAAAACATAGAGATTCTTTTTGAAACATAGATACTATTAAGTTAATCCCGAAGAGCACAAGTCGGTTAATTAAATAGAAATCTGGCACCAAGCTAGCATGACTCTGACATTATGCTGGGTTCGATTTAAATCTAAGATTTCTGATCGAGTAACCGACTTGTACCATTCAGGAATATTTTATTTTATTAAGTTTAATAAAATCTTATCAAAAATTTATTGTCTGCAGTTTATAAAATTAAGTCTTTAGTTTTTGAATTTACTCAAAAAAGCTGTAAAGCTGCCTAAAAAATTATATTTCTCATTGTAATAACGTTCATTTCTTGCCAAACTTTTAATGATTGGTCATTTCTTTTCATCATTTGCCTTACTTCTCTCAATCAACATTTTAATCTTATCATCTTCATTTAATTTCGAAGGTCTTCCCCTTTTTTTCTTATTCGGATGCTCTGCTGGAATATCAATCAACTTTGTCGTATTCTGATGCCATCTTCTTATGGCATTTATTCTCTCATTTGGTGTCAAATTCTCCGGAATCAACTGTGCTTGTTCTTCAAATACTGACTGTCTACGTTGTCTCATTGGAACTGATTTAATTGATCCTGTTGATGCTGTATTTGTTGTTGATGAACCGGAATCAGCCTTTGAATCACTTTCCAGTCCTTGGTAGAGATGTGGAAATTTATCATGAAAGTGTTGAGCCGGTCGTTTGTCATTTGGCAAGCCTTTGTTGAGAATACGCTTAATAGTTGATGCCTGACTTTTTTGTGCCTGAATATATTGATTTAGTTTGCCTTTAAGAAGAGGTCTTTTTAGGTTAATTATAGACTCACGACGTTGGACAATTTTGCCAACTCTGGCTCTTACAGTTCCTGATTTAGGTGCAATTTTTGAAGGCTCTGATTCCTCATTCTTTGAATTGTCATCATCGGAATCAGGAAATTTGAATAGTTTTTTTGAATTACTTGATGTTGGATTTAATGAATTAATATTTGGACCTTGGGAGGTTTTTAATGGATTTTCTACATGAACTATTTTATTACTTTCAGCATTGTTTGTTACTAAGTTGTCCTGTTTCTTCAATCCCACTTTGTTTGGTGCCTTTTGACCTGTGCTTGTCTTTTGTCTCTTGCTTTTATTTTCGTCTTGGCTTTCGGTTTCAGAATTTTCAGATTGAGCACTTTGATACTCATTTGATGAGTCTGAATCATCAGATTTTGATTTGTTGTCGTTTGTGTATGCAAATGGTCTCTTTACAGCAATTGTTCCAGTATTTGTTGTCTTTCTGGCTGTTGCCTTGAGTCTGGTTGAAGTTGGAGCATTTGACGATTTGATGTGAGCTTCTGAAGTTGGTTTTCCATTTTCTAAGTCCTCGTTTTGATTCTTTAAGCTCTTATTTTTACTTTTTAAGTTTTTTCTGGTTTTTGAGGTTAAGTCAGAATTTTTTAATTTTAATATTTTTGATTCAGTTTCTTTGGAATTTTCAAAAAATTTATCTGAAGTTTTTTGCGGTCTTCCTCGTTTTTTCTTTGGTTTTCTCGCAGTTTTGACCACTGCAACACCCCTTTTCCAAAATATTGGTAAAGTTTCTTTTGGACCTTCAACTTCATTTAGAAGATCACATGTCTGGTTCATTGGATTTTCCGGTAAATCAATTAATTTACTGCCTTGTTGACCATAATGTCTTAAAAAAATAGTTTTAGATTTAATTTCATCTGGCGTTATTATTTTTGATTGTTCTTCTGAAATTGGATTTGAAGTTGATGAATCAGTTGAAGACGATCTTGAAAAGGTTTGAAGCTTATGGGACGAAATTGTTGATAATGTAGCTGAACTTATGTTTGAAGCTGATGAAATTGGAGAATAATTTAAAAATGTTGGTGCGGAAGTTGTTGAACTCGATGTGGATGGCTGTTTTTTCTTTCTCAATGCCAAATTTGAAAATTTCATTCCAGATGTTGAAGGAGATGGTGCCACAGTTGTAGAAGTTTCTGATAATTGAGATGGACTTGGAAGGTAATTTGGATTTTCTGATATACTCAATGGTTGGATTGGTTGGTTTTCCTGTCTATCTGATGCTTGTGCTAATGTTTTGAAGGAGGTAACCTCAGTTAAGTGAGTAGGAAAAAGTTGGAAATTTGAGAGTCCTGGTGCAAAAATTGGAGGTTCAGGAGGAGTCTGCGAATTCTCTTCGGGTATCAAATCCAATGCTGACCTTGAAGTGTCTATAAATGCAGAACTTATCCATTCAGGTTGTAAACCAGCAGACGAGACCACAACTGTTGATGCTGCTGATACATTTGAACCGCTTGATGGACTTATTTCTTTAGTATTATTGTCTGAAGAATTTAAATCTGCTGAATAAGGTTTAGCCTGTGGCTTTTCATGATTGGTTTCCTGACTCTTGGCACTGAATATATTATTGAGTCTCATAAGTTTTTGAGTTGACATTTCTATGTCTGCCTCTATTTTTATATGAGTTTGGCTTGGTCCTTGACAATCATTTTCAATTAATTTGGAACTTGAATCTAGAGCTTCTAATTTTAGTCTTTCATTAGCTGTCAAATGTTCGTGAATTTTTTGCGTTAAATCTTCCGAATTTTCATCATTTTCCAAGCAAATTGTTTCATTTGATTCTTTTATGTCACCAACTTTTATGGTTTTAATTTCAGTCATTTTTTTTGGAGCTGCCACTTGATTACTTCTAATTTGATTGATATTTTCTACATTTAGATTTTCATCAGTTTTTGAATTCGAACTTGATATTGGGATTTTTTCAGCATCTTCAGCCTCATCGTCACTTGAATCTAGATTTATAGGTGGCTCTACTTTTTGAACTTTATAAATGTAAAAGTTGGTTTTATCAACATGATCTTGTCGACTTGGATCGGCTCCCATTCCGACTATTGTGCCGTCAAAAAGTTCAACTTTTTTGTTGCGTATTTTCTCATTATTCACAAATGTTCCAGCTGACGACTAAAATGAAATAAATAAATTTATTAGTTAAAAAAATTACAAAAGTCCTCGTGTTATTTATCGAGGGACTTCAGCGCATTTTTGACGCAACGATTAGTATTTGATAAGCATCAAAATGCGAATCAATTAGCAAACAGCTCTAAATTTTTGCCTTTATCAAAGTATAGTCGTTGTATTTCAATAAATATTAAGCATTTCGTACAGCAAAAAGTTTTTTGTCCGTTAACAGTTTTTGAAATTATCCCGTCATTTTTATATTATTTACGTGAGATTTATAATTAACATTTCTTTTTTAACCAAATAAATTAATTTTCACCACAAAAAACTCTTGAATTCAACAGGATTTGTCACTAAACCAGTTTCTGGAATTCAAATGAAATTCTCATTTAACGGTTTTTTGGGATTCAAATATTTAACGGTAGAAATAAATTTGAATCTCTGAACATACCTTGAACAATTTTTAAAACGGTTGAAAAAAATTCAAATTTTAAACGAAAATAATCTTAAAGAAAATAAAACAATGGACCTGACCTAATAAAACAAACTAGAACTCTCTACGATGTCTGGTTAATGAGATCTCAGAACCAGCCGAGCAGCCGATCAGTGAATTATTAAGCTAACCTTTTGAAACAAGTTTCAAAAATGTGCTAAAAAGGTTGACCAATTTTGTCTTGGGATTAATCTTTGAATACTTACAGAATCTTCAATAAATAATTTTCCATTTTCAAATGTGATTTTGCAATGATTAAGGGAGCATCGCATATTTTTAAGCACGACATCACAATCCTTTCCACGACCTAGAATTTTATGATTATGAATTATTTCCATTAAAACTATGTATAATACTCAGTCAAAGTATCAACTTACCAAACTTTGTTTCCGCTTTCAAAAAAGTGTAGTTTTTGTAATGGACTTTAAAATCACAGTTGCCGATTCGCTTGAGAAAGAAATTTTCTGGATTGAATGACATATTGTTGAAATCTGCAAAATTTTATGATCAAAATAAATGTTTATAAATTTATGATCTTATTTCGTAAAAGTTTATACTCAAAATGCTGAAATTTCATGAATTTAATTTGAATACATTGTAAAAAAGAGAACGTTGGGATTTGAAAACAAAACTTTTTATTTAACAGGTACAAAATAATAAAAATAATCATTAAATCTTTTCTTAAAAAATCTCACTTATTTTTTTTTTTATTATTTGTAATTATTATTTTGCCGATAAATTAATTTTACTTGATAAAAATATAAGCAATTTTCAAAACAAAAAAAAAATATTATTGAAATCGGATTTTTTAAAAGGAATAAAATATGGTAAGGGGTCAATTACTTATGCCGTCCACAAAACTATTTTCTCAAAACTGACACAGATGCTCCCCCCCCCCCCCCCCCCGTTCGCTTATGACGTCCAACATGTAGGGGAAGTGTGGGTCTAAAAATTTGTAACACATTGTGACAGCGGAGTGAGGAGAGGGGAGGGGGGGAGGGAAGGTCAAGAAATATATGACATCCAATTTTTCTTATGACAAAATTATATTTTTGTGTGTCTATGATTGGACGTCCCAAGAGGGAGGGGATTGTCATCTGCGACATTTTTGTGACAGAGGGGATTTAAAAATTGTGCGAAATTGGATGTCACAAGTTTTCTGACTCCTGCCCCTCCTCCTCCACTGTCACAATGTGTCACAAAATATTAGACGTTCCTACCCCCTCCTCCCTCACCTAAATCTTGGACGTCATAAGTGAATGATCCCTTAATAAATAACATTGACACACAAGTGTACCGTGCCATAAAGCTTCATCATCATTTTTTTTGATAATTTGCGATTTGAATGTTGAAAATAATTTTAATTTATGTAAATCTCATGATTTTAATTCAAGGTAAAATAAAAATATTTTATTACAATTAAAAAAAATTACATAGCGTGGAAGTTCTTCAGGAATTTACATTATTTTATATTCTCTAATCTTTAACACATTAAATTTGGTTTAATATCACACATGTTTAAAATGTTTATATTTCAGTCTTATGAGAATATTCAATTTAGCGTTAATTTAAGTCACATTTAACTTTATTAGAATGATTAAAAACTCCAATATAGGTCACAAAATAAATGACGATCATCACAAATCCACCAACAAAAAAGAACTGAATGTAAAATGCATAATATTGTAGGAATTTTTGAAAAATATCAAGAATATTAAAATAGAGCGGATTTTATGAGTGTATTTGTGAGAATTTTTATAATCAAGTATTTGCATAAGCTTGTGTAGGTAAGTCTGGCAATACAATCATGTGTACAGTAAATGTAAGCAGTTAAGTGCCTTGCTGGTCGATTAGGTAGGGCGCTTTACTCAAATTTGGTATTGTAAATCGAAGGTCGTCGGTTCGAATTCAGCCATTTCCAAATTTGTTCTTATTCGGATGTTTAGATGCGCTAACTGCTTAATGTACGAGATCAAGCGATTTTTGGGCATTTGGGCAACATTGGATTAGGAACGGATCAGGAATTTGAAGTGTAGCGGGAGGAACAGGAACGAGAGCTGCATGAATACACAGAAGATTAAAATGAGAGTCTGAATTTAATTGGAACCTAGATTTGAAGATTGGAAGTTTGATTCTACATAATATTAAGTCATACCAAATATGTATATAAACACCAATATATAAAAATGTGGATTATTACCGGACAGTATTTAAAGCACAACATTTCAGCTAAAAAAAGGGTTATCATTTTTCATACGGTTTATTTTCGTGCTCATACCTATACTGGACTTAGACCTACTAAGGTGTAATGTTTCATAATTATTAAATTAATATAACATCACAGCCTTCGTTTATAAGCAACAGACATTAATGTCATGAAAAAAGAGTTTCGGATCTTTCTTTAAACTGTAGGTTTAGGTTCAAGTTTAGTGATCTGGGAAATCCTCACTCGTTAAACTCTTATTAGCTGTAAAACGTGCTAGCGCACTGCTAGCTCACAATTGATCTAAATAAGTTCTAATTTAAGTTTTGACTAACTTATATAAATTTCTTATAAAGTGATTGAGATTTGCAAATGGTTTTATGACTAAAATGACTTATGACGTCCAAAATCAACGGTCATTTTTAAAAAAGAACAATAATTGGATCTGGACTAATTGGATTCTTAAAATAAATATTAATAGATATCCTGAAACTACAATATGAACAGTAATGTGTTATCATTAAATTATCAATTTTTGATTATTAAAGTTGAACAAAATTGATTCATTTAATTTTTTATTTGTCACTAGTATTTACAATTTATTTGTTTTTAACATTTAAACGTTATGCTTATTACTGAAATATAAAAATAAATTTCTTCTTTAGTTCCATTTTACAGTATCATTAGTGAATTAAAAGACTTTTAAAAAATTATAAATGAAACAAAATTTATAATTTTTTAATCACATTAATTTGGTTTTTTAAAGAATTAATGGGACATAAAATTTCATTTATTCATTAAAATCTCACTCAATTTACTCGTCATTGTTTCTTAAATATCTATAAATTTTTAAAATGTAAATTTTAATTTCTAATTTTCCGTGATGAATTTTATCTCTTATATTTTAAAAACGTTGAACTTTAAAAAGATGAATCTTAGACTTTTTAAAGTTTAAAAGTTAAAGTTTAAATATTTTAAAATTTTCTTAAATTTATTTTTTTAAACCATAAACTTAATAGATTAAAATTATTGCTTTTCATTACTAAAAGTTTACATCAACAAATTGATATTTTAGCACAAATTGTTTTGGTTTTTTATACAAAAATATTTACAGTTTAAAAAGGTTTAAAACCTGAAAAATCTCATACAAATTGAATTCATTCCGTTTTGCTTTAGAAGTTTAATTTAAAAATGATGAATTTGTTTGAAAAATTTGGCCAGCCAAATTGAGGTTATGCTAATCGATGATTATCTTAATTGTTATAATCTCAAACTTTAGTTCTTTTCCTTCATTCATCCTCAGACAGGAAAGTCCTCACAAAAACAGAATTGTAAAATGAAACTTTCCTAGATTCATCCTTTTTGCCTTTCTTTAACAGAATCGATTTCTCCTTTGGTATTAAATTGGTTTTGTTCACAATTGGCATTTTTAGTATCTTTTCATCGTCCGACAATGAATAAGTATCAACTTCTGTTTCTTCATCTGAAACTTCAATATACATTTGAGTTGAACTTTCAGCATTCTCATTAGTTCTGATTGTCGATAAATAATTTTTGTATTGTCGCTGTGACATTCGAGAGACAGTCGGGATTCTTGTTCCATATTCGCTACTTCCATAGTTGTCCATTTCTTCATCTTCTTCCTCATCATCATCATCATCATCAGAATCTCGATTACAAAATTTATCTAAATCAGATGGTCTGACAATTTGGTGAGTATTTCGAAGTTCTGGCTTCTTATTTGATGTTCCAGGTGGCGAATAGTCTAAGTCTTCAAAATAATGATTAGGTTCAATGCGATGTCTTTTGATGTACTGACTGCTACTGCTGTCAGAATCTTCAGAACTTGATTCATTTTTTCTTTTATTTTGTAAGCAATTTTCAATGTTGGTCGTTGTTTTGACTGCAGTTGATGAGAATGTTGATTTTGTTGCAATTTGTGATCTTTTTGGGATTAAAAGTTCTTCATCAATACTTGCCGTCCGTTTTCTAAATTTAATTCCATCTTGAGAACGTCCTTCAGAAATTCCTTTGGAGTCAAGAATTTTTGAATAAGTGTTGGCAAAATTTCGGTAAATTGATGACGATTCTAATCTTTTGATACTGCTCATGGCCAATGCAATCTCTTCATCTGTTAGTCTCTCGAGAGCTACACTAACTTCAGGAAATTTTGGATAGAATGGTGTTATATCTTCGTTGTCTGATAAGTTGTTCTGATCAAAATCATCAAACGGATATTCCGATTGGCATACGGTTGGGAATCGATCGGCTTCTTCATTTTGATCTTCGATGCCAAACAGTTCGCATGATCTTGTGATAGAATCAGACTTGTTTGGTTTATGGACAGTAATAGGAACTTTTAACATATCATTTCCTGCATAGCCATCTGTTTTTGAATATTCATCTAAATCAGGCTTGCCAATCTGTTCATTTTCTTTAAACTTGATTCCGATATGTTCATGGCTTGTTTCCAAAAGCTGTTCTTTCTTTGATTGATCGAATGTCTGTTGAACAAACGTTGATGCTTTACAAACTGTTGAATTAATCACACGAATAACTTCTTCATGATTGTAAACGTCTTCTTGATCAGTGTCTGTAAGATGTTCAGTCTCAGCAAGAGAACCAGCTCTGCTTATGCTGTCTAGCTCTTTAATTTGAACGACCTTAGCAAGTACAGTTGAATCATTGCTTGAAAGGCTTTTTGATATTTTTTCTTCTTGCTGATTGCAGTCAACATGAAATTCTGTTTCATTTTTCACATTTTCGCTGATTATTGGTTGCAAAGATGAGCTAAAAGATGAAAGGTCCTCAGCATGATTTAATTTGTTATCATGTCCTCTATATTTGAACTTGGTTTTGCTTTGCTTATTCATTTTATGTGCACTAATCGATTGATCCGTCAAACTTATGTCTTGCAAATGTTTTTTGTCAATAACCTTTGAAAGATTATCTTTTACGAATCTAAAACCTAATTTCCTTCCTCTTTTTCTTTTCATCGTCTTTACTTTTTTGAAATGTTGGTTTGCTCGAATTCCATTTTTGGGTGGTCTTCCACGCTTTTTCTTTACAGAAACTGGTTCTTTTTTCACTTGAGCTGCATCATTTAAAATATCAGATAGATCAACATTAACAAAAGGAGCAGCTTCAAGTGATCTTCGCTCATTTAATAAAGAGTCATCGCTGAATTTTTCTTTACTTTTTGGCAGAATAGCTTGTGATGGGACTGGTCGATGAATCCTCTCTTGGTGGAATTGTTTATGAACTTTATTGACTTTCTGTGACTCAACTTTAGATAGCTTCTGATGAGAGCTTCTTTCCGGTTCCATCTGAGCTGGCATAACATCATGTAAGGGTATTAATCGAGGAATCGTTGCATTATTGTTAACATTAACAGCTTCACTTTGTTCATCTTCTAAGCTTTCATCGAGAACTATTACATCCTCTGCTTGATCACCAATCAAAGATGCAAGATTAAGGATATCTTTACTTTGAACTTTTTCAGCAATTGCTTTTAATGATTGGCTGAAGCACATACTGTCTGGAGGTTGAAGTGGTTGAGGAATTTTGTTTGAATTAACTTGAATTTTGTTTGTCTGTCCTGGAGTTTCTTTGGTGTATGAGCATGTAGCATTAACATTATGCATATTGGCACTTGGTTGAGGTATGCTTTGATGCTGATCTGTATTCATCATGTCGAATTTTCTATTAAGAGACTCACTTGAAAGAACTTTGAGGCCTGGACATTTGTCATTACTGGATTTTGAAGTTACGTTTTCAATGCTTTTGGTCTCCTGAATAAAATATGACTGAGATTGAAATTCTTGATGAAAACTCTGGTTTAATGAATGTGTTTGTGGAAAAATATTGACTCTTTTAGTTCCTTGATTCATGATTTCATTCATTGGATTCAGACTTGACTTTACTTGATTTATGTTATCTTTTGCTTGAGATTCACAACTTATGTTCACTTGACTGTGATATCTCTGACTTGATCCTGCATTTTGATAAATCATGTGAGGCATTACTTTCTGTGAACATTGAGTTATTTGAACGTTCTGAGTCTTGTTTTGAATATGCTGAGGCACAATTTTTGTTGCTTGAGTAGTTGTATTGATGTATAGATCATTAAGGCTTTTTAATGATTGTTGACTTGATGAGTCACTAGTTTGAATGCTTTGATTTGGCCAAAGAATATTACTATCCTTTTGAATTTGTCTCTGTTGATCTTGACTAAATAGTTGAGGATTAAGATTAAGTTGTTGTAAATTTCGACCACTGAATCCGGAATGTAAATCTTCTGAAGGCTGAGTTAGAATTTGCGGAGGATTATTTTCAATAATCAGCACTTCGTCCTCATGATCTATAAAAGTGTATCGATTTGATCCTTCAATTTGAGGATTAGCTTTATTTTGATCATTAGCTCTTGTATGTTGTGACAGTCCCGACTGATGTACTAATCTTGGATTCATATTCACGCTTTGAGCGGGTATATTTATAAATTGAGGAACATTAAGTTGATTTGTTTTTGGTACGATTATAATATGCTGTTTAGTCTTAGGTAGATCAACTTCAGTATTTTGAGAATTATCAGTTGGATTTATCACGTCTCTAACTCTAAAAATTCTCACCATAGATTCCTTATTTGATCTATATTTTCTAGGTTTCGGTAGATTGTATGTTGGATGAATCACAATTTTGTTTTTAGGTTGCTGTGAAGCACTTTGTAGGGATTTCTCTTGCATTTTTCCATTGTTCTTTTCTTCCATATTCTCTGCAATTTTCTTCAATACTTCGTTAACGTTTGAGAATCCTACGGCAATTGGATATGTGTCAGATAATGTCGTTGTTCCTTCATATTCTGTAGTTTTACTAGGTTTAGAATCTTGCTGGTCAATATAATTTCTGTTCAAATTTTTTTCTGTTCCTGTTATTTTGATTAATAGGTTCTCAAGCTTAGCTATCATTTCATCACAACTTATTGATTTTTGAGGATTTATTTGGCTATTAAATCGTTTAGCAAGGATGAATTGTAACTCATCGTTTGTAAGACAATCGTCAATCTCTCGTAATTCAGGTAAATTTTCATATTCACCATCATCTGAACTATCTTGTGGAGTTTGGAGGCTCAATGGAGCATTTTGCTGGACTGTGCATTCTTGATTAGATTTTTGTCTTATTTCCTGCATCTTCTTCAGCTTCTTTTTAAGTTTCTCCATCAATATCTCTTTTGCTAAAGATTTTGAACTACTTATCGAGATGTTTGCTGTTTGTGATGTAACAGTTTGAGCTACTGGCCGAACTTTTCTTTGACAATACTCGTTTGATTTGGAATTTCTTTTGTTTAATAACTCTGGAAGATCTGTGGATGGTCCAAGAATAGGTTGTGGTATTAAGTCTCTATTCTGCGACTTAGGAACATTTTGAGGTGAACTAATTTTACTTTGCGAAATCAAAACTTGTTGTGTTGGCATAAATTCTGGATTTTGGCGTTGACAAGGTTTTAAAATACCAGATCCAGATCCAGATCTACTTTTTGAAACTGATGATTTTGGGTTTGGAAGTATTTCTAACTTTTCAGTCAATAAATGGTCTAAATCTCCATCTGGATGAACAAACTTAACATTTTCATGGACAATGGCACCTCTTGTTTCTTTTTGAGTGTCATTCTTAGTTGACTGATATTCTAAATCCTCCGAAATATCATCCAGGTCTATAATTTCTGGATCTTTATTTTTATCCGTAATCTCAATAGTCACATCTGGAGCTGAGTTCTTTCTAATATTACCAGCATCATCGATTATCACTTCAGATCCATCACTAAATACAAATTTTTTCTGAAGACCAACTGTTGGAATTTTTTCAGTGAGCGTGTGTCGGTAAATATCCAAATTTGATATTATGTTTCCAAAACTGTCAATAATTTGGACTGAATGATTCGGTTTTTGAGGGGATTTTGGGATTGATGGTTGAATTTGAAGTGTTGCAGGTTGTGTTGAAGGACTTGATCCTTGTAAAGGAATTGAGCTTTGATTAATTTTTAACTTTGAAGGACATTCAGCTTTCTCCTGAACTACAGCATCATCGTCCAAACTATCCAAATCACTATCAACATACCATTCAGCCTCTCTGTTTGGAAAGTGATTATTTTTTTTATTATTAATTCCAACTTTTCTGCTGTCTAACGAAACTGATCTAAGTCTGGTCATCACAGGCTCTGCTCTAGTGCACTTTACACCACTTTCGAAAAAATTAGGATCGTCAATTAAGTTTTTCGATAATTTGATAAATTCTTTAAGCTTTGTTGGATGTTCTTTGATGAAAGATTTTTCTTCGACTTTAATTTCATCTCCATTTTTTTTCAGACTTCTCACCATTGATGCATAACTTGCGATAACTTTTGATTGAATTCCTGTTTTTGATTTAATTTGGTTCTTTTTAACAGTTCGTTCAAAATCTTTGTGTTTAAAATGCAATGGTGATTTTTTATGGATTTTTGAGACGTGCTTAATTTTAGGTTTTTGATGTTTTAAAGAAGTATGTGATTTTCTGGAGTTATCTTGATCTTCTAAGTTTCGTTCATCGACTTGATCTTTCGAAATTACTAAAATATCTTTTACAGGAGGTTCATTTAAAGTTGAATTTTTACGATTCCCAATTGAATATTTTGATTCAGATTTCAAATCATTTGGGATCATTGGCTCTTGTAAGCTGAAACTTCTCTGAATGTTTTCAATCTTTTTCGAATTTCCTGGTGAATCTAATGATAATATTGAATTTCTACGGCTTTTCACCAATTTTTCACTTTCCTTAAAATTCGGAAGACTTGTTTTAGTGATTCTTATGCTTGATGGACCTGTTGGAATCGCCATCCAATTTGAATTTGCTTTTTTAGATTTATGATGAATTAGTGGATCTAGTTTAGGACATGTTGATGAATCTGTTGCGCTTACTGGGATTTGTTGAAGGGATGTTGATGTTTCTGTTATTGATTGTGTATTGGAACCATAATCTTCGCTCATATCAATGACTAAGTTATCATTTTCATCAGCTACATTATCAAACTCTTCAGATTGTTGAGAACTTAATGCTTGAACTTGAGAGGTGGTCGATGATTCTTCTATTCTAAGTGATTGAACTGTTTTTACTTCTTTTTCTATTGTTTTTTCAATTTCTTCATTAATTTGACCTTTTAGTAAGCTCAAATTGGCTGTACTTTGGACACCTTCGTCAAAATCTTCTAATTCTACTATCTTTCCATTGCCAGTTTGCAATGAATCCTTATCAGTTGCTTCTTCTGGTTTTAATAAATTATCTTTGATTTTTGATGATTCATAATAAATCTTTGCTGGAACTTCATTAAATTTATTCAATATTTCATCAATTTTTTGCGGGCTCATGCTTATGCTTTCAACTCTCAAAACGACAACTTTGCTGTTTTTGTCTGTAGCTTCTGAGCATTTGCTTACAATTTCTTCATTTTCATCTCCAACAAAGTCAATTGTTATTGTATTTTCTGGAGGATATTCCACTTCCAAGATGTTAATAGTATCATCCGTGTTCTTTATATCTTCAACTTTAGTATCTCCATCTTCATTGTTCTTATTGCTTAATTTTTCTTTTTCCATTTTAATCAAATCTTCAACTTCTTTCCACTTTTGGGTAAATTCATCGATTATTCCTGTACATTTGTTACCAAAATTATTATGTTGAACATGTGTTGAAACAAGTGTTTCTGCATCTGCCTGACTATTAATTTGTAAATTGTCACATGTGTTTGGTTCTAACAAAACATTTGTGAGTCTTGATGGACTTTTGGAGACAAATGAGTGATTTTCAGATAAATTTAGGCATTTTGATGATATGTCGAGCATGCTTGATGAGTTTATGGATTCAGAAGTTAAGGAATCGACAGATTTTGTTACTTTAAGAGTCTTAGGAATTAGTTTTGCTGTTTTGTTCAATGATGAAGACTCTGAGAAGGATCTTTGTTCACCTTTTTGCAACTTCGAATGATAATTGTTATCAATTTCAATGCTGGATGATTTTGATACTTTAAGGGTAGATTCATCATATATCATCCTAGTCGGAGATACTACATGCTGATCTTTGTGTGCTGTTTTTATTGAATTCTCTCCTGATTTTATATTTGATTTTAATTTATTTTGCTCAATTCTTACATCATCCTCGTTAAGCTGAATAGTTTCATGCGAAAAACTCAATTCATCAAATTTTGTTCCATAATCTTCATGCGCAAAGCTTAAGTTTTCGAGTTTTGATGATACTTTGGTATTGTCACGTGATCTTAAGTCATGAAAATCTAATTTAGAGTTTGATGAATTTATGATCTTATGGCTTTGATCAGGCTCACTTTCAAATTCGTCAAGCAATTGTTGGGACATTGACAATAATTTTGTTGCTCCTGACAATAACTCTGAAGGATAAATTGGTCGAACAGATATTTTCGGCGAGTCAGAGTCAGATTCAATTGATTTAGTCTCAATATCATATGCACTAGACATTAAATCATTCAATGACTGGTGATCAGACGTTGTTGAAACAGGATATTCTCTTCTCTGAGATGTTTGTTGATCATTAAATGAATTCTCTATGTTGCAAGAAAGTCTTCGAGTCTTAATTGTCCTTGAATAATTTGTTATAGATTTTAATGATTGAGACAGAACTTTATGAGAATCATCGGACCATCTCCGTGAATTTGAAGTTTTTTTCCTTTTTAATGGCAATTCTTGTGAATCAGTTGATAGTCTTTTATCATCAGTAATTGAATCAAATGAGGTCAAATTTTTTAATATTTTAGATTTTTTCACTTTTTGAATCTTTTGTGATAATGGTGCTAATTTTGGCATTTGTTTCTTAAGTTTTGAACTATCTGTAGATGCACATGAAACTACTTCTGGAATATTTTCTTCTGATGGATCGTTAAGAGGCACAGATTCTATTGCATCATTTGATATATCATCATCTGCATATTGAGCAACATCTTCATTTTCTTTAAAATCAATCAATAATCCTTCTGATGGTGCCAATTCTAACTCATTTATACTTTCTGCTTCTGTGATCACAATATCTATAGAATCGTGCACTTGAGTTGATTCGGGCAAGTTTTTGCCATCTTGTGGTAATTGTTCTTCATGACATGTCTGGGTCTTATATGACTCGATTAAGGTTTCATTATCTAGCATTACCACCAAGCCTTCAGATTCAGCCAACACTTCATCTCGTTTTTCATTTGCTTTATCAATATTATTTGAAGTTTTTTGTACATCAGATGTGAAGTTTATTGATTTTGGTTCTTCTGAAGCTTTATTAATTTCTGAGCTTTTATTTAACTCACAATTATTTTGTGATTCAATTATAAAATCGTAATTTGTTGATGTTATAGTTTGATTGCAATCTAATGACACAGTTTTATTGACTTTGCCATTATCTGTTGTTTTTGGATCAATGTCCAATAAATTTTCAATTATTCCTGTATCATTTTGTTTTGGTGATTTTATTTCAATTTGAGTATTTATGTTCACAGAAGTGGAATTCACTTCTGTTTCACTAATTGTTTTAGTCCTTGTAAATCTACTTCTTGTTGGACGATGAACAACTTCATTTGATATAGATTCTCCGTCCGTGAATTTATTAGCATATTTTTGCAATGAATAGTCATCATCACTGGATTCGTAAATTCGTTGATCAACATCCATTGATTTTTTGTGCGTACCAAAAATATTTTTTCTGGTTAAGTTTGGCGTTATTTCATCGTTACTTGTCTTTTCATCGGAAATGTGCCTCAATAATGTCCTTACTGATGACGACAGAGGTGATTCTTTGAAATTTTCATTTGGATATAAAATTTTAGAGTTTTCATAGCTTTCTGACCTCAAATTTGGTCGATGAATTAAATTTATTAATGGAACAATATCTGAGTTACTATCGGAGCTAGATCGCCTCGAAGATGAAGATATTAATTCATTCATTCTTTTTCTGATTATTTGTTCTGATGAAAAGCTTGATTTAAGGCTCAAAGGACGTTCAGGCGAGCTCATACTCGAATGATTACTTCTAGTTGAAATGCTCAGGCTTCTTGATCTTTTAGTAAATTTAGTAATATCATGCGATGTTAATCTTTGGAGATTAACAAAACATTCTTTGATTTCATCGCTAGCTTTGAGTAGTTGAGTAGATTCTATAGGATCTGAAGTAGATTCTCGATTAAATGTAACTTCTTGGTTATTTGAATTTTCTACTAAAGGTTCACTGACGATATTCAAATCTAATGTCTGTTTTAAAACTGTCTTTGAAATTGTTTTATCAGACAAAACAGAACTTTCAGGTTCATACGGTTTAAAACCTTTAAAATGTTCAGATGTGGAAGAATTGATTTTGTTGTCTAATTCATTTTGAGTTTCATATTCAATAATATTGGTGATTAATCGAGTTTGATGTCTACTCATACTTATAGAAGGGATATTTATAGATCTTGATTTGATTTTGTGATCTGGAACCTTTATTTCCAAAGTTTTCTCAATTGCCTGATTGTCGTTATTTTCAAACTCTTCGATATTCTGTTGATCAGTAATTTCAGGTTCACTAGTGTGAATGGTAGTTTCAACTGTACCTTCATTATTTTTAGTCTCATTTGTCACTAAAGGTTGTAAAGTTAATTCAGGTTTATTAAGAGAAGGCTGATTACAATCACTTGAATATTCATGTGATTTAAAAGCTTCTTTGTCTTTTGAGGTTTCATTCTCACTTGACACTTTACAATGAATTTCCTTTGAACTTTCAGCACTTCGTGATCTTCTTTGACTTTCCAAAAGTTGCTCTCTTATTGATTTAACAGGTTGAGTTGGTTTATTGATGTTGATACTTTCATGTTTTCTGGATCTGATTGATAATTTCTTAAGTAAATCTAAATTATCACCTGTTAGACTTCTTTTAATCAATGAATTATGTTTTGATGGCTGATGTGTTAAAGGTTCTTCAAGTTTTTGTGCTTTGATTGGTTCTGAAGATTTAGATAAATCAGTGCTCTTCTTGCGACTTCTTAAACTTGTCAGATTTATTGTCAAAAGTTTGTTTATTATTGCATTTTCTAGTCGTTGCTTTTTTGCTTCATTGGAATGTTCGCCGAAATCATTTAAAGCTTGTTGAGCATTGTCTAGGTCCTTTTTCTTCAGAATTTTAGTAGATTCTTTAATATTTGAATGTTCTTGCTCCGTTAAGCTTTTATTGGGACTTTGAGATGTTTTCGGACGTTCTCGAAGCCTTCGAACAATTGATTCCTCTGAAACTTGATTTGATGGTAAATTTTCAGCTTTTGTGTAGGTTTTAACAGATCGAGGCAAAAATACTGAACTAAAGCTTGGTTTTGATGGTTGTACCGGAGATGCTGAGAAATTAATAAAGGTTGAACTTGATAATTTTGAATCTTCAACAAAGGACGTCTTCAACTGATTTGATGATTCCAAATTAGATTGTTTTGGAATGTTTATTTCTAGACACTGAGCTTTAGAGTCTTGAGTTGTGCTGTGATTCTGACCATCTTTTACTTTTGTTTCACTTGGCAAATCTATTTTAATTTGTTTTGTTTTTGTTAATTTTTCTGTTTCCGGGTTCAAAAGATTTGTAGCTTCAACCTGAAACACAAGTCGGCTCCTTAAAGACCTAACACTCTTCTCTTCATCTTTGTCTTTCAAAGGTGTTGAAGCTGCAGTAATTGATGTAAAAGTAATATTTAGATCATTGCTCGAACTTTGACTTGGTGGATCGACACTTTTAGATCGACTAGCTGATTCTCCTTGATTGTTGCTACTTGAAAACTTAGGCAATGATGGTGCTGGTTCAGAATTTTTATTTGATTCTGCATAATGAGATGAATTAATAGGAACATAACGATTTCTTAAATTTCTGACTGGCTCATCAGTGACGAGAATTTCTTTATTTTTCTTTGGAAAATTTACTTTTGACAATTTGTCTTGATTAGCTGGCTTTAATTGCTTGGACGTAAATTTAGCTATTGCATTCTTTGCACTGTTTTCTTTTATATTTAGTAGTTTGTCATCGTTACCATTAGCTGGTTCTTCATGATCGATGTCAGATGTATTTGAAGTAGAAACTCGAGATTTTGTGATCTTTATTACTGCCAAAGAATCTTTTAAAGTATCGACACTTTTTGAACGACTTCTTAAAACTCTTTTGCTAAGTTTGTATTCATCTGTTGTTGGCTGTGCTGTATCGTTTAAAGGTATTTTTACCACATTTTGATCGTTGAATTTTTCATCAATTTTTGAAGTTTTGTAAAGTGTTGCTTGAGTTTGATCTTCAATTGAAGCTGGGTTGTTTACTTTCGGTGATTGTTCTGCGCATATTTTGCTGTTCTTCTTTAACTTGTCAATTGCTGTAGGTTTTACAGGTTCGCTTTGTGCTGAACTTTCAGATTGTTGTCTTTTGTGCAAAATCTTGGAAATATTTGTGGAAATAGGTTCAAAACTTCTGGTTCTTGGGGTTGTCAGACGCTCAGAACTTCTAGTTTTAATGCAACTTTGTAAGTCTCTTGAACTTCTGGAGTTTAAAAGATTTTTGACTTTATTTTGTAAAATATTTGGTTTTAAATGTGCAGAATTTTGAAGAATTTTTGTCGATTTTTGATGGCTCTGATCTTCCATGTTGTTACTGCTGGTAATTAAAAACTCTTTTACAGTGTTAATTTTTTTACGATTTTCTAAAAGTTCATTAGACAATATATCAAGAGAATTTAAAAGCAACGAATTGAGAAGATTTGATTGAGGCACACAACTTTCTGGACTTTTTTCAAATTCATCATTTTTATTTGTTTTACCGACCACAGAAATTAAAGAATCTTCACTTATTTTCCCAGCACTTCTCAGTCGGTGTTCTTTGTTGTCTGTAGCAATCGTTTTTATGGAGTTTTTAGAATCAGCTTTAGAAATTTCAGAAGTTCTAGCTTCAAAAGATTCATTTAGTTTTGAATGAATCAAAGTTGTTTGAAATTGATTTGCCTTTGATGCTGTTTTATCTTCCACATTTAAGTGGTTTCTCAATGACCTTCTTGGAGATTCAAAAGTTTTTACTGATTTTTCTTGCATTATGGATGATTTTATGTTTTTTTGTGAAGATTTTGGATTTTGTTCAGTCCTTTTTAAATGAACCGCTAACTTTTGAGTCATTTTTGTCTTTCCTTGTTTAGTTGATTTTGAAGATTTTTGAGCTGATTTGTAAGGTTTAACTGTTTCTTCAATTTGTTCATTAGTTTTAGCTTTAAGATTTATTGCTGCTGCTGCTTCAGATTTTGAGTTGTTGTCCTTTTTATCATCCAACTTATTTATTGATTCAACCGATTTATTTTCATTTTCAGTCAGTCTTTCCATCATCTTTTTCGAAGGCTTCCGTTTTCTTTTAGATCGTCGAACTGTTGAATTTAAAATTAACAACTGAAAACTACTGGAATTTACATTTGATTTTGTAGCTTTGTTTCTTGATAGTCTTGAAGATTCTGGCGAACTTTTTTGAGTCCATGGCTCTGGACTTTTGAAAGTATTGTGACAATTCTTTGAAGACTCTTCTTGGTCATTAATAGACCCAAAGCTGGAAACTTCAAGCCAATCCAAATCTGTTTCTGCGACAGACTCAGCTGCAGATATTTGACTTTTATTGTTGTGAATATTTTGTAAATTTAAAGAAGAAGCTGATATTTGCGATGTAAGTGAATCCAATGCTTGTGGAAATGATTTTTGCTCAATATTTGTTGTATTTTCATTTTCTAGAAAAGTAAAGGAAATATTAATATTTGTCCAACAACTATTCGTATCCCACAGAACCCAAAAACCAACTATTAAGAGTTGCTTAATTGTTTACATTAAAGGATTTGGACTTAATTTGTATGAGTAAATTAAATCTGAATGTGTTTCATCTTTGTAGGTCTCGCTATAACTGTCATAATGTAAAACAAGTCGGGTTCGATGGGAATCGAACCCACGACCTTCAAAGAGGCGATCTCTGACCGCTCGATCAGAGATCTCTGCCATTCGGCCACAGAGGTACTTATCTCACTTCTGCTATCCGTAATACACATATTACAAAGTCGTGGAAACTATCCCAAATATCCTATTTATCCCATATATCCCAAAAATATTCAAAAAATTCCTGAGCATGTATGCACGATAATAAAGATATCACAACGTATCCTTAGTGCATTGGACGTGTAATTTCAGGATATGATGGGATATCTCAATTCTAATGCATACAGGCGCAGGGATTATTTTGAATATTTTTGGGATATATGGGATACATAGGATATTTGAGATAGTTTCCACGCCTTTCACATAACCATTTTCAACGCGAGCCCTATGCTCAGGCCTATTTACTACAGATTGCTATTCGAGCCAAATCTACAATCTTAACGTTAAATAATTTTTTGAATATTAAAAAAGTGGATTCACTACTTAATATTTGAATTCCCTCAATACTAAGCTTTATATTTAATTTCATTACCTTCAACAAGTGCTTCATTTCCACTATCTTTTTTGTTTGTTTTGTTTAACACACTTTCAGAATCGTCAAATGATTGAACATCTTCATCAACTTCCACGATGGGCTCAACATCATGTACATGTAGATTTTCGTCAGCATTAATTTCATTCGATGGCTTGTCATTCTTTTGCTTTAGTGTAATTTTGTTGTTATTTTGGGTTTTTTGTGAATTTTGGATATTATCAAACAATTGGTCTGTTGTTGTAAATTTCATATTATCATCATCAGTTAAAAATGGTTTTCTGATTTCGGGTCGATCTGCGGTTTCTGTTGCCTCATCTTGAAGCTCATCTTCATCATCAATATCATCATCTAAAGCAGCACTATTGCAATTTGTAGTGTCAATTGAACCATTAATAAGGTCATTTATTTCGTCTTTTTTGCTGATTTCTATCCCCGGATTGGTTTCAATAGCTATAGTTGAGTCATTTTTGAAACTTTCAGAATGCCCTAATTTATTTTTAATATCTTGCCCAGTTTTTGAATCATTTACAGAACATTCTTGAGACTTTTCAGTCAATAAATTACTTTGTAAACATAATGATGAAAACTGAGTATTTTGAGGGCTATCGTCATCAACATTTTGTGGAAAAAATAAGTCATTCATACTCGTTGAATATAAATCGTCTGAGTCATCATTATTATTCATTGCAATCATTTTTGAGGCTTCTAGTAAGTTTGAAATGCTTAATGTTCGCCTTGCTGGTTCGAGATTCAAAATTGTCACTTCTTCTGTTGAATCATGGCTATGATCCTCAATATAAGATTTTTTATTTGAATTAGGCTGAATTTCTTGGTCTGAAGGTGGAACTTGATTGGCTAAGTAAACTGTTGGAGGTGCTGGTACAACTCGAACATAATTGAATGGATTTAGATGAACTTGATTTAAATTTTGAGAATAAAAGTTTGAGGTTTGTGGATTATGACTTATAACTGATGAAGGTTTTGTTAAAAGTAGGCTCGTATTTGCAGCATTAAAACTTGAATTGCTTGGTTGAGTGTATGTAAAATTTACAGGAACTTGAGAATAGTTTATTGACTTTTGAGCATAATATTCTGTTTGACGAGCAAGATTTACTAAACTTTGAGCACAACTTGTTGAGTTTTGAGAATAGTTTTCAGGAGTTGCAGAAAAATTTGTGATTGATCTTTGATTATAAATCACATCAGTAGGAGAATATCCATGCTGAATCACTGGATTTATATTTGGGTGAGTAATCGAAATTGAAGTTTGATTGACTGGACGAAAAGGAACAGGAGCTGGAAAAACTGGAGTAAAAGACGATGTTGTGCCGTATGAATTATTTTGAGGAATATTTGTGGTACCCAGGAAAACTGGAACTGTTGTTATTAATGTTGGTGCCATTGTGATTGAATTTTCAGTAATTGTTAAAGTTTTTGGGATATTACTTGCTCCTTTGTGTCCATTTGTATCAAATGATGGGCCTGATTGAATATTTAGACTCGAAACTATCGGATTGAAAGTAATTTCTGATCGTGCTGCTGTTGTTATAGGTATAATTGTTTCCGCATCATTTTGAACTTCCACACCTTGTACATTTTGATCTTTCAAGTTTGAGTGAATTGAGTAAAGCTCTTTATTCTCAGCTAGACTTTCGCTCAATTTGTCAATATTTCCCACTAAGTTTTGAGGTTCCACTGATTTTTTAACACATTCCTTTTTCACAAACACACCAGATTTTTCATCAAGAATCTCATCTTCATCAGACAAAGACACAATCTTTAACACTTTTGTTATTTCTCGTTCAAATTCTTGTGCCACTTCCTGATCCTTTTTCTTAATTTCTTCAACTGCCTTTAAGCAAATTTCTTTAATTCCAACAATATCTGATGGTGACAATTTGCTCTTTTTAATTGTGTTTTGCTCACTTGAAGATTGTGAATCTTTTCTTGACTTTTGATCAGGATTTGAGGCTATTTCAGGAGCTTTTTGAGAACTCGAATGTGGTGCTGAACGTGGTTGAGTAGCTTTGTCAATATTTTGAGTTTTATTCACGTTTAAGATAACTGAGTCATCAGCGATTGTTCCTAACTTTTTTATGCTTATCACCTCATTTTTTGGAACCAGTTTCTCAACTTTGTGGGACGCACTTTTACTATTGAGTTGATTTGAAGAATTTGCTAACTTTTTGCTATACAATTCCAAATCTCTATCAATTTCAGCATCTGTTCGACGAACTCGAAATGGCTTGCTGGTGTGCTTAACATGTTTTAAAGTTTTTGGTTGAATAACATGATCATTTTTCTTTGAAGTTGATGTCATGCTTACATTTTGAGAGCTGGTAGGGCCAATTTTTTGGACTTGTGATAAATTTTGGAGATGTGGCTGCTGATATGATGATTTATTTGGATTTACTTGGTGTGTTGGAAGTGAATTATGTTGAATTTGTGAATAAGTAAAGCTTTGCTGTTTTACAACTGGTTTCTGTTGCATTGTTTGTTCATTTTTAACAGCTTTAGAGCCTTTATCATGGCGTGTTGATTGACCTGCTAGCAGAGATGAATTTCTGATATCTTCTCTAGACTGAACATGACTTGAACTTTCTTGATTTGAAGCATCCACTGTAGATGATTTTAAAAGTAAATTCTGAAGCATTTCTGTGCTTGACAGCTTTTTATTTCTTGTTTCTGATTCAGAATTAAGACGTTTATGCTTAACATCAGGTGAAAGTTCTGTTGATAATTCAGCTGGTTTGTAGATTGAGGAAAGCTTTTGTTCTGAACTTATTAAATTTCTCATATCTGCTTGAGTCTTACGATGCTTATTTGATTTGATTCTCTCAGCCAATTCCATGACACTTTGTATAGCTTTATGGGTCCTTGTTTTACTTTTATTGAATTTGATAGTTTTATTCAACTTTGCCTTATTTAAACTTTCAGTTGCTTGATTTTTTGGATCCAAAACTTTACTTAGTTTCCTATTTTTAGATTCTAATGTCAATAATTGACTTATTTGTTCGTTTTTCGTTGATTTTTTGATACAAGCTGTTTTGCTCTGCTCTTTTGATTCTACATTAATAACCTGAAGTTGATTAGCTTCATATGCCTTAATATCAAAACTACTTTTATTAGCTGAATTAAGTTTTTCAACAATATTCCTATTTTCAGTAATTATTTTGCTAATTTTTTCACTTTCATCATCATTATCAGTCAAATTATCATAATAATTAAGAGCAATGCTGTTATTTTTAATAACAGACTCAAAAGTTCCATAAACATCTATAGGAGTTGACGCGATGTCCACTAAATTATAAGGAATATCAGCACAAGATTGAGATGTTATTGTTTCAGGTCTTTTGTTTCGTAAGTTTGTTGAATTTTTGGTAAGGAGAGTTGATACGGAATTACTAGATTTTGCATTTAAACCTTGATTTGCAGAGTTTTGTAAAGATTGCATTTTGGTTTCTTCTAGTTTTGCAGGTCTTTCAAGCAGTTCACGAAGCGTTATTGTCGTTTTGTTTGTTTTTGGTGATGAGCTGTATCCTTTTTTTAATGCTGATTCAGCTTTTGGCGCTGAAGTGCTGAAGGAACGTGCTTTTAAATAATTTAAAGGATTTTCGGAAACAGCATTCAAATTTTCACTCAAACTTCTTGAATTTGCTTTTAAGTCTTTAAAATCTTCAATAATAAATAAAATCTCGTCTCTTTTTGCAGAATTTTCAGTCTCTTCTGTAATATCACATGAAGTGATTCCCACAGTCTCACAGCTCTCCACTGATAAGCCTTTATTCTCGTATTGTGACGTGTAATCACGTAACCTTAAAGCTTCATGATAATTTGTGTTATCACTTTCGCTAAATAAGTTTAAAAGTGAATCTCGAGTCGGTTTTTCGTACTTATAATCACAATTTATAAGCATTTTTCTAGATTGTGGTTTAGCATCATCGTCAAAAAAGCCAAACTCATATTGCATCATAAAGTCATCAGAATTTGTAGTTTTTAAAGTCAAATTGTCGACTGGATCTAGATTGTAAGTATGGTCAATATTTTCAACTGACAGCTTCCCATCGGCATTGTCATCATCAGCAATTTCAACACTTTGTTCACTTTGGTATCTTTGTAGTGAAAACACAAATTGATTGGAGTCATAGATACGCTTTGGATATGGATTTACACCGAAACCAATAAAATCTCCAATTTCCAATTTTCTCATTTCATTTGTTAATTTTTCATTATTCACAAAGGTTCCATTTGACGACTGAAATGGAATGACAAGAAAAAATATGGAAATTTTAAATGAATTGATTTTAGTTGAATATTTTCAAAGGAAAATTGCGTTGCTGAGGCTTCTTTACATGTAGCGAGGATGTAAAATTGATTGCATAAAAAACTAAATTGTATTCACATGATTTAATTGACTCATTTCATGAATGAGGCACTCTATGCTCTCGGCGATATGGAAAAAGATCAAAAGGTAAAACAAATGGATGAAAAAAAAAAATTTTAATTTCATTATAAGTCACCACAACTTTGACAACCTGACATAATATTATGAATCACCGAATGAGTTTTTTAACCCAGAATTAAGTTTAAAAAAGAAAGTCGGCATCTCCTCACAAATATGACAATAATAATAATAATCCTTTATTCAATACATAATATAAGGCGGAGCAGCTAAAAAATAATTTTGATGTTAACCTTTATCGGTTTTAATTGTGGTTTTGTGAAGGAGCTAAGAGTAATTGCTTGAGGTGAAAAGTATATAAAATTACAATGAAGTTTAGGCAGAAAAAATGTTAAAAAAAGCCAAAAAATTTTTTAAGAAAAGTTTAAATAGAAAATCATTAATAAGTAATTAATTTAATTTGAGCGTATAGACTTAATTCAAAGCTCTTGGTAGTCTATGTTTTACTCTAAAGCTCAGAGAATCGTGATTATATTGACCGAGAGACGAGATGAGATCATTTGGATGGTGTATAATTTTGCCATAGAAGTTATTTGTGACATTTGTAACAAAAGCTTTGATTGAAGGTAAATTTGATAGCTTATGTAAAATTTCGTTCGATTTGAAGTCAGACCAGTGAACATCATGGATCATTCTTAGAATTTTATTTTGAAATAATTGCAGCTTATTCAAATGGCAAGCTGCAGCATTCGAGAATATAGGACAACCATATGTTAAAATTGGTCTGATGTAAGACTTATAAATTCTAAGTTTAGAGTCTGTAAATGCAACGGAATTCCTACTCAATAAGCAGTATAGACTCGAGAAACTGGCAGCACTGGATTTGTTAATGGATGAGTCAATATGATGTTTAAAGATCAGTTTCCGATCAAGAACAACGCCGAGATACTTCACTGCCTCTTTCCAAGAAAACAATTGAACATTGAAGCTAATCGAATCATGTGCGGTTTTCTCGATCATTTTTGTGGATTTGGAAAACATAATGAATTCGGTTTTAGACTCATTAATTTGAATTTTCCAATCCTGAAAGTAAGTTTGCAAACAACTCACAGTTTTGAGAAGTTCAAGCTTAATAGCTTTCAAATTTTTCCATGCCATCTGAACACAAATATGACAAACAATAAAAACCATTTACAACTTTGAACAGCAACGCAAAAAAAAAAAATAAGCGTAAAATTCAATTAGACTCGTTCCTACCTGTGTATCCCTCAAAAAAATATTTTCATCTCTATAAATAATTTCACACTGCATTCGCGACACTCTTATGCTTTTCAATGTGATTGTGCAGTTTGGTGAACGACCTGTGAATGAAACAGAAAATAAAGAAATATTGAAAAATTTATTTAATGGGAATATATGTAACTTATTTGACTTTATATTTGAGTAAGACAATTTGAGTAAGATATTTTTGTAAGACAATTTGACTTTACTTTCATGATAGATTGACGGGAGGCGATTACTAATCTTCGCTAAATTAATATTTGTCTATAATTTGTTTAATTTTTATTGTGATATTAATTTTTTTAAAAAATATCTTTTTTATTTGATAATTTGATAGAAAAAACTTTAATTGAGACTTCTAGACTTTTAGGTTTATAGACAATTAAAAGAAAGTATCATCAATGTTTAATTCAAGCTATGAATAAGGGGCCGTTCGCTATGACGTGCAAAATTTAGGAGGGAGGGGGTCAAAAAATTTGTAACACATTGTGACAGAGGGGGGGGGGGGGGGGGGTCAGGAAATTTATGACATCCAAATTTTTTAATGAGGAAATTATAATTTTTTTGTGTCTTGGATTGGACGACACAACGGGGAAGGGGGGTGACAGTTTTGTGACAGAGGGGGCAGGGCAGGGGGGTTTCTCAAAATTAGGTTTTTTGATGGATGTCATAAGTGTACGGCGCCTTATAACTTATCGTCCATTTAGAAATAATATTGGAAAACTAGATGTCAGTAATTAAAATTTAATAGCAATCAGTTGCTGCAAAATTAAAAGCTAAATATGTTCATCGTAAATGTTGCAACTTAAAAGCTAGTAAACTGAATTTCAATTACTAGACCAACAGGCAAAGACGTGCTTAAAATGTGTGTAATAGGCCACAGGCAAGATTCGTCCTATACTGCAGTAAATTCTAAACTATACCCTTTTGACCTACAGTTTATAGTGGGATACGAACCACTTGCATGCTCTGTACATTGCAAAGACACGAGTGTGTCTATAGATTTAATGAATCCTGCAATGTCACAATTCGTGTTCGCAAGATGCGGTAAGGAAGTCATCCAGATGCTAGTATATCCTAGTATACCTAGCAAAGGTGACACTTTATGTGCCGAATATCTCAAAACTAGACCCAACACACGAACCGAACTTCGTAACTAGAACGGTACAATGGAAAAAAGAGCTTCGAAAATTAGACATAGCCTTGGATTGAACTCAGGAGTTTTGGCATGGAAGGCCAGCGCTCTCCTATTTAGGCCACTGATGTTATTTCACCACTTGTCGAAACACTTTAGTATGTCACAAAATTTTACCACTCATGCACAAAAAAGATGGCAAAACTCAGTTGTCTCTAATGGATCATTCCAAAAAAATTCCTAAAGTTTTTTTCTTAAACCTTTTTTTTACTTTCAAAAATACTTTAGGTAAATAGTAACGGGTTCAATTATAAGTTACGTATGCCTTAATCAATGTGAATTTGAGGTTAGGATTGATGAAAGAGGTTAGAGCAGTCTGAATCAAGTTGACTTTTTTTAAACTGATTTTTCAAGGTTATTGACAATGGATCATAAAAGCTCAAATCCATCAATCTGGAGAATCGCACACTATCATCATTTTATTAATTTTCAATCAGCTTTTAAAATTTCCGTGTCAACAAGCTTTATAAATTTACGCTGTCAAATACAAATTTGAAAAATTCTGGACACATGGCAATTAACTTACATACGAATCAACTAAGCAAGCTATTACCATGGCTTAGTTGTATTAATAAACGAGTGTTCAATTCAATTTTAATCAAAAAGTCCTGGCCAAAAACACAAAATCAGAAGATATTGCACACATAAAATTAATGAAAACAAAAGTGACTACAGAATGACATCATACTCAAAGAATGTTTAAGTCTCCCCTTTTTTACATCTCGCACATGTGAAAAAAATATTTAAATGAATCGCAATATTTTTAATCTACAGAAATAATAAAAGGGATTTTGAGGTTTAACGAGCAAAAGGGGATTGACTGTGAAAAGTGGAACTGTAAAATTTAAAAAAAAATACGATCAAGTGCAGCTGGATGCATAGTTTTTAGTTTTTTTAAAGTATGTCACATTTTATATAACTACTTTAATATGAGTTTGGGTTTAATGAGAATACAGAGCGTAGTTTGAAGTCGAAAGAGTTTAAGTCAGAGTTGCGACGACAGGTACCTGTCACAAGAACAGGTGACAGGTCCCGTCAAAAGATCACCATTCACAGGCTGCCTCCCGTTTCACAGCACCTGTTGGTCACCTGATAACAGACCATCTGTTGACAGATCTGTGACAGATTTGGAAATCTGTCAACATGTGGCCTGTTAACAGGTGACCTACCAAACAGGTGGGCTGTTTTCGTTGACCTGTGGCAGATTGCAACTCTGGTTCAAGTCGACTTGAGTTGACTAGACTTGACTCAAAACCGAGTTGATTAGACTTTTTCCGAGGTGACTCGTGTTAACTCGAGACGAGACAATTTTTTTGCAAGTTAACTTCCAGTCGAGTTCGAGTCAACTCGATAAGTTTTTTTGTATGAAAAAGTTGACTTCGATTCGACTCAAGTCAAGTCGACTTGAAGTTGACTCGGACAAAATTGGCTCCCCTAAAGTTGACTCGAAAACGAAAGGTCTGAAAGTTTAAAAATTCTTGGTCTGACCATTGATGAGACAATGTCATTTAAAGATCACGTTGATGAATTGAAAAAGAAAATTACACCATTCATATATGCATTAAGACGAGCCAGAAAATTTATCACTGATAAAACAGCAACAGAACTCTATTATGCACACGTGCAGTCGCATTTTGTTTACATGAGCACTATATGGTCTGGACTGTCACTAGGTCTAATGAAATCTCTAGAAATCCTACAAAGGAAAGCCTTGCGAATTGTTCTTAAAAAAATTGGTTTGCTGGAAAAGATGTTTTATATAACATTAAATTTCTACCTGTCTCTGTAATCTGTGAGACAAATTCTTGTCTGCAAGTTTTTAAAATTAATAAAAATATTATTAAAAATAATGTGGAGATAAGAGTAGGTAGTGACATTCATGGTCACTCGACAAGAAATCGTGAAAATTTTGCAATTAAGAAATGTCAGACAAATCATGCAACACAAAATTTCTATATAAGAGCTTTTAGTAAATATAACGAACTTCCTAAGCAAATCAAAGCATTTCACTCGCTGAGTATAATTAAAAATCGTCTTAAAGAGCATTTTTTGGAAATTTATTTTGATGCTAATTAAATTAAATTAAATTAATAATCAAATTTATATTTTATTTCTGCAATTATTAAACATGAATGTAAATTTATAACACAACTTTAAGGTTGATATGAATAAATGAACTTAAAACCAAAAAAAAAAAATCGACTAGAGTCAATTCGCCTCAATTTTGAGCTCTGACAAAGGAACTGGGAGTTGTTAAGCTTAATTAATACGATATAAGAATTAGGTTGAAATTATATAGATATGCCTTCGCTGAGTAGATGAAAAGTGGTCATGACTTAATGACTTCAATAAAAAAAGGATTTTGAGACTGCATTTCTCTTTTTGAAAAACTTTTGATTCGACATTTAACTTTAACGGCCTGTTTCACTAAGGTGGATTATCCTCATTTTAGGATCATTCATTCATTTAATTTAAAATTAATTTAATTTAATTTAATTTAAAAGCAGCCCCTCTATTCGCGTGGAAGTTTATGAACTTATCAAATTTAAAAAATATTTATCACAAGAGAACTCAAATTTTTTCTCTCTTATTACTTGCACTTCAAAAGAAATTTAATTTGATCTTTAATTTATTCTATAAAGAGTGCTTTACACAAAAAAAAAACTCACGCACACATTCATAAAATGTGAACCAAAATAAACTAAATTTCAAATTAGAACTCACCAATTGTTATCAGTCTCCTAATGATAGGAATATGACTATCATTTAATCGAGAGCCTTCGCGTTTTAATAAATATTCCATTGTTATATAGTCATCAGTGTCACAAAACTTCCTTGACTTTACTTCATTCTTCAACATTTTTTTATACTTTTTAATTTTCTATATTTTTATTTTTGTTCTTTGCACCGAAAAGTTCACATTCAGATACTAAAAAAATATTTATATTAGAGAATTTCAAATTCAATATTTTTGTGAAGAGTTTTGTCTCACCTTGCATTAATAATCTTCAAAGTTTTCGACTTTCTTCATTAAACTTTACACACGAGTAACAAAAAATGAATTCAAAGATTTTTAAATAAAAAGTTTTTAAAGACTTAAAATGATTTTGCTTCCTTCTTATTTGACAAATTCGAGTAAACTGAGAGCGTAAAAATGTGCAAATGATGTTAATTTGAATGTATTGGTTGCCGACACTGTAAAATTATTAGTTATTGCTCTCATTTCTTTTATTTGTGTTTGTGAGTAAATTTTGGATATTTTTTTTCTACATTTTTTTAAAAATATTTTTGGATTTTATCGCAAATATTTTTAAAATTTTTGAATGTTTTGCTGGTTGATGCTTACATTTTATAATTTTTTCCTCAATTTGCTATTAATATTTTAAATATATTAGATTTTAATTGAAATATGGACCAATTTTGCGATAAAGAAACGAGTTTGTTCTCGAAAATTCTCCATGAGCTGGTTGACTTTTGTCTCAGTTCAAGCTTTATTTTTGATCGACGCTATGAGCTCATAATTTTAAAATAATTTTTAAAATGCTATTTATACTTAACAGGTTATCTATGCAAATAAATTTTATTCAATTCAAGGAATCAAGTCAAATTCGAACAATGTTCGTACCAAGGGTGTGAAACTGATCAAAATTAATTTCTGAGTTCGACATCGCTAGTTTAATCTGGAGAATCTGGTTTGAGTTAAGGGTGCGGAACTGATCAAAATGATTGAAAATGATCAAAATCTAATTAACCAGTTCCGCACCCTTAATTTGAGTTAATTAGATAAACAACTTGGTTTATGTACATAAAGAGACGACATAAAAATTGATCTAGGCACACAGGATGATAAAATGGTTTAAACTGACAAGCCTGTGACATGTTAACGCTCTGTCACTTAACTTATCAATTCATAAATCTGCGATGTAATCGTCACTGCTAGAGAGCTGCAAAGAAGCTTTATGTCCTAACAGAGAAGTGAGAATACTCATGGTACCGTAATAGAGTATCTTTCAAACCCGAATGACACAAGTCGGTTAATCGATCAGAAAGTCTGGCACCAATCCGGTATAACTCTAGCATTGTGCTGGATTCAAATTGAAGCAAGCACCATGCCTGAATCATGTTAGAATCATGCAAGCTCGGTGCCGGATTTGTATAAGTTTAACCAACTTGTGAGTATGTTACGGTACCATAAGTATACAAATTTGTCTGTTAAGGATGGTTTGAATAATTTAGAACGATAGCAACATCACATTGTCATCACGTCTTTTGAAACTCGGAGCATTTTGCATTTTGCTTCAGATATTAGGAAAAAATCATTTTAATTTAAAAAAAAACTACTTTAATTTCCAAAAACTTTTCATAATTTCGCCTCGTCATCATAGGTTGGTATAAACTTGGATTGAAATGAGAAAAAAACACCTTCCGTGTTCCACGCGGAAGCTAAAATTGAGAACTTGTCTGTGTGGATACAAAAGTCAAACACGTTTTTGGATGCTGCAAATGTCGATGCTCTTAAGCTCATTTAATGAGAGAAAAAATGACATATTGTTCTCAGTTTTTTAACGATTACGAATGACGACAGCAAAACTGAGATTACAATTGAACGACTTGAAATGCATATTTTTTTTGTTTTATTTGTAATACATTTATAATTTCATATTTTGAAATTACAAATCCAATTTCTTTTTTAAACAGCAAAAATAAGCTGATTGGTTTCTAAAAACAACCATTTATTTCAGGGGTGAGTGTCTGGTCAGTATTTTCATATAAGTCAGTGTTGTCCAAACTTTTTTCAGCCACGGCACACTTTAGATATTTTTTCACGGTATCATCATTTATAACGTTCTGTTAAAAACTGTAAAGATAATAAAATTATTGGCGATCGAAGCCACCGGCTTATAAAAACGGCTTTCCTTATGACTTATGCTCTCGACAATGACAAGCCTTAGATTGGGCTTGGGTCATAATACGCAGAAAGTCGAGACAGAATAGGCTAAAACTTATACCTGGCATTTATCCATATGGTCGGATAACCCTCGAAAGCTTATTAGTAAGAACTTGCAACTGGAAATCTTAAAACGAGTTCTGCTCTTAATAGTAGGCTTGAGTCCCGATCGGGATCCGTTATTTTGTTTAATTAATGAAATTATATGTTTCTTGATTAAAAAAATATTAACATATTAATCAAGCCTGACGTCAACTTAGTGTCATAATTTTTGTGCGATTTTTCTTCTCAGTGTGCTGTTAAAAAAACCTGGATACCAAATTTTACGAAGACTTTTATGAAAAAAATCGCAAATTTCAAATCGCAATTTTTAAATTTATTTTTCTCAAAAACTAATACAAATCAACAAAACACAGCTGTGCTGTATGTTTACAACTGTCCGAACAGCACGTTTTTGTCACACAAGTGGATATTCTTTTTGTTTTCTCAAAGCCCTTAAAAAAGAGCAGCGACTTCTCACTTACACTCGTGCAACTTTGTAATACAAGTGAAATAATGAGGGATCGGGACTCTGAAATTTTCTACACTTTTTGTGAGATCTGTTCTTCAAATGATTTTTGAATCCTAGGGAATATGTTTTCTTTAGTTTTGATCCGCTTTAAAGGATGTTTCGTAAGTATTATTAATTCAGTAATACTTTTTGAGCATGGTTTAATTTATCAACTTTTTCTGTGTCAATGCTACTTTCTGAAAGGCTATAAAATAAATTTTTGACTTGTTTGTCAATTTTCACGATTCATCTAGATTCAATAAAATTCACAAAAAATGATAATTAAACAATTATAAAAATCACGTGCAATTTTGAACAATTAAATGAGTTTTTTGCATGCAGTATTACAAGCTAAGTTGTGATTTTTGACACTCAAAAGATAAGATTGAGGCTCGATGCAAACTTATTTCAACTTGATGTGCCTTTTTGCTGATTTTGTCAAAAACTTTTTCTGTAAATATTTCTTATCTTTATTTTGAGGACTGGCAGGTCAAGGACAACATAAATTTGTAAAAATAATTCAGAATATGAAAAAATATTGTTTAAAAATCGAGGTCTTAATAATAGGAAGTTGGGAACGGTTCGTCTTTTCAAAGATCAAGTTAAGACTTTGAGACGGAGTTTGATTGATATTCTTTTATTAGCAAAATTAATTGTTCCCTTCTGCAGTTGATATGCCTTCACTATAGCTTGTGCAATAAAGGGACAGATTACAAAAAAAGGTCTGTTTCTGAACAAATGTTTATCGATTTTTCAACTAATTGTGGTAATTTAGGATGTGACATAGGATCATAAATACATCTGAGTCGTAATATAACATTTAATAATTTTTAGGGAGGCTTAATTTATTCAGCATATAACCTTAAACTTGTATCATTCAAAATTGCAAGAGTGAGACTTTTTTACTTAAATATCACAAATCGATTAAGCGAAAAGAAATTCGGCTCTAAGCTAGCATGATTCCAGCATTGTGCTGGATTCAATTTAAGTCCTGCACCATGCCAGAGTCATGCTTGCTAGGTGCCGGATTTCTTTTCAATTAACCGACTTGTGCTTTTTGGGTTACATTATGTAAACATAAAGTCTTATCAATTTGTTACTGGAAATAAAGATTTATGTGTTTTATGTGTTTTAGCTGCTGTTGGTTCAATTCTAGTTGGTGGTTTGGATCGCGCTGTTTGTCTTGTAGGTAAAAATTATTTGTTTGAAATCGATAAACTTTTATGCGAACAAATTCTTGTGAAAATCAAGAACTTTTGCAAATGTTCAGTAAATTTCATATAATTTTAGGTCATGGAACTGATAGCTCAACAAATCCACCAACTGACTATTGGTTTGTGAAAAAAAACAGTGGTTCCAAGATTTAGGAGAACATACTTTTGAGTCAATATGAGATCACACATGTCAATTTAAAATGAAACATCTTTGAATTAATTGTAAAAATTAATAAACTTAGAAACGGAACTGAAAATGAAATTGGAATATGAAACTATAACCAAGCCTTGCCAAATTTGTCAAGTTACATTCTTTTGTATTTTTTGTTGCAACAATCTCCATTTTTTATGTTTAACACGATATTTCAAATCCACCCCAACCCTTCGTTCCAAAGTTGCAAGTTAATTCTGTTGTTTATTATTTGCAAAAATCAAGACTTAATTTATTTCACAAACTTACTTATGGCCTTTCGGGAAATCAGGGCCTCTAGCGTCTTCTTATTGAAAAGTTTACAGCGCACCCAAATTTATTTTTAATGTCCTTTATAATTTTTAAAACAATAATTATTATAAGATAATGAATTTTATTTACATTCGTGACGATAATAATATGAAAGAAGCATTTAATATATTATGGGTAAGTTGTAAGCTGAAAATGATTAACAAGCTGCTCATTTTGATAACAACTTTCTTGCTTATTGCTGCAATTCTTTTAAAAAAATTAATCTTTGTGAAATGAAATTTATAATTTTTGAAATTTTAATGTTGGTGTGTTTTTGTAGTGCTCAAAATAATATTACTATCAAAAACTTTTTAAAATGGCAGGTAAGAATAAGGCAGTGTTGATACCTAGCACTTGACTTTAAAAAGGATGATCTAAGTGTAGGCAATTTGAAATTAAAGTTCCAAGACTTTGCTTTTGTCAAAGACCATTTTTTTGCCTTTGACTTTGCTGGATCAAAGGCAAAATCTGGGCAAAGGCAACTTAGTATCAACACTGGAATAAGGGACCGTGCACTTGTGACGTTCAGGGAGGGAGGGGGCAGCCAAACAATAAAAATGGAAATTCACGGATATCAATTGTACTTTTTTCAAAAGAGAACCGTTAATTTCGGACGTCCCTTTTGAAAGTAGAACAGAAGTGAACGATCCCTAATTGAAAAACATAAATTAGTGATTGAGACACAACTTTTTTATTTCTAGGCAACATATAACAAAACTTATGCAACTCCAGCTGAATATTCAATTGCTCTCGAGAATTTTAGGGTCAGTTACATGAGCATAATACGTCAACAGTTATTATATTACACAGGACGATCTAATTTCTTCATGAAACTCAACAGATTTGCAGACCTAAAAAATAAATCTTTTCTCTTGGGAGGAATTTTCAATTACTAAGACTTAGGCACGTAGCAAGGGGGGATTTTTTGTGACAAATTCTCCTTCGTTAACAGAAACTTCTTCATTTTATTAGGGGGCCACTTATGACATTCATCAAAAAACCTAATTTTTAGACCCCCTTCACCTCCTCTGTCATAGATGTCATTACCCCCCCCCCCCCTTCTCCCCCTTTTGTGACATTCAATCCAAGACGCAAAGAATTATAATTTCCTGATTGAAAATTGGGTGTCACAAATTTTCTGACCCCCCCCCCCCCCCTCCTTACTCTGTGATATGTCACAAAGTTTTTGACCACCCTGCGTCCCCTAAATGTTTGACTTCATAAGTGAAAATACCTTAAGGATTTTAAGAGAAAATCCCGAACCAACCAATCCCCCCCTAAATTTTCCATATAAATTTGTTTTCCCTTCCATTCAAATTGCCCTTGCTGTGAATTATTTCACTACGATATGACTCTTTTAAAAATAAGCTTTTTTACCATACCAAAATGTAAACATTTTAATATCGGTATTTTTTCTTCATCAAAGGATGCCTCATTTGAAAAAGTCTTACCAAAATGTCAGAAATCTTTTCATTTTTTCAAAACGTTTCTAAGCTGATTTTGCTTGTTTTAGTTTTAACCTAAAGAATTGGAAATTTTGAATAAAACTCACAATAATAAAAAAAATAACCTCAATTTTCAGTTATTTATTTAAAATAATGTCCAAATTATGTCATTGGAGACTTTAATAAGGTCACATTAAGTTCCGCGTTGTAAAAATATTTTATTATATTTAAAATTAAGTTCTTCAATCAAATTTATTTCAATTTCGTGATTAAAAAATAAAACTTAGAAGTATATTTAAAAGGTTTTGAATGTTTTAAAGCCTTATTTAGTTATTATAATTTGAGGTTGAAAGTTTTATTTAAAGTGAGGTTTGTTCTTAAGTGTTTAATTTGGATAATAGTTGAATAAAATTGCTAAGAAAATATTTCAAATTGTTAAACAATATTTAAAATTTTTCTATTACTATTTGAGTAAAAGTTTTGAATTTAAAAATATTGTGAAGTTAATTTTGCTAACATTTTTTATAAGAATTAAAAAACAGAAACTTAACAAATAGAAATAACGAATAAGTTTTATATTTTATAAAATTACAGCGGCATGAAAACAATAAACCTAATTTTGCAAGTTCTATTACTTGTGTACTTTTGTAATGCTCAAAGTGAAATTTTTATGAAAAACTTCTCCAAATGGCAGGTATAAAAAGAATAAGTTTTGCATATTAGACAAAAATATTTTAAAACAAAAACATTTTTAAATATAGAGGAAATATAACATAACCTACTCGAATCCAGCTACGTTTCAAAAAGCATTTACACATTTTAGAATCAATTATAAAAGTACTTTACGTCATCAACTTAAATATTACACATATCGATCTGATTTCATCATGAGACTTAATAAATATGCAGAATATAACAAGAAGACGTTCCTTAATGGAGCAAAATTCAGTGATGGACCAGCAACAAGTTTATTTGCAGAGTTTCAGGAACCTGTTGGTATCAGTCCAAAAGCTTTTAATCTTCCAGTATACCCTACACCGCCACCAAGCTTAGATTATAGGAATTTAGGATATGTAACGCCAGTTGAAGACCAAGGTGAATTAATAATTAATGGTTAAGCACCTGGATATGTACTCTATACCATTTAGCACTAGCTAAATTAGATTACAGATGAGCGTACGTCCTTACTTGAAAATAAGCTCTTTAAGGGAAGTAGTACGAAAATATTTAAATGCGGGACGTAATTTAGGCCAAATTTTACCACTCCCTGACAACTTGCTCCCGCGTACTTCACAGACACAGCTTTAAATTACAGCTGTAATTTAATTTTTACGCAAAAAAGTAAGCTTATCTGTAATCTATATCTGTAATTTAATTATAGCTGTAAGTTATTGCTAAATAGTATAGAGTTGGTTATGTGCTCAAAATATTCTTTAAATTTGATAGCAATTGACTCAGACCTTACCCAGAATTTATCAAATTTTACAGCCTTGTCTATCTGAACTTGTTTAGAACTCATTTTGATAACTTTATTAATCTAATTGTTTAAGGATATACATGCTCAAGCTGTTATGCTTTTGCTGCAGCCTGTGGAATTGAGGGTCAAGTAGCCAAAAAATATGGAAAACTTAATTCACTGTCCTCACAAAACATCCTTGACTGTTCTGGAAGATATGGAAATGGAGGTTGTTTGGTAAGATTTGTTTAAAATTTTCTTATAAATAATTTTTAATATTTAAATCGGCATTTTAGGGTGGTTCCATTGGAATTTCATACAAATACGTCCTCGCAAACCAAGGCATAGCTAACCAAACTGTATATCCTTACGCTGGAAATGTTAACACGTGTGCTTATAACTCTTCAATACTAGCTGAAAAAATATTGGCTTATACTTACGTCAGTGGAGATGAGAATTATTTAAAAAGTGTTTTAGCTGCTGTTGGACCTATTCCTGTTGGAATGAAAGGAAGTTTGGACTCATTTTATTATTATTCTAGTGGAATTTATGATGATCCAAATTGTGGTGGATTTATTGATCATGCTGTGTGTCTTGTTGGTAAATTATAGTTTTAGTTCTAGTATTCAAAGCAGTTGTCTTTATGTCTTGGTGTTATTGTAGGTTATGGAACGGACAACTCAACAAACCCACCAAGAGATTATTGGATAGTCAAAAACAGCTGGTCAACTGACTGGGGCGAAAATGGATATTTTAGATTGAAAATGGGATCAAATATATGTGGAATAAGAAACTATGTTGTTTATCCTACTATTCTCTAAGCTTTAGCATATTTTGTTTTCTAATTAGGGGTCGTTCACTTATGACGTCCGAGATTCAGGGGATCTGTGACAAATTTGTGTTAAAAGAGGTTTTTTTGGATAGGCATATACATTTTTTAATCAAATTGTTTATTATTATGTTACATAAAAATTTAAAACAATTATTCAATAAATTTTAAAATACTGACTTGCTAAAATGACACAACAAATACTCTTTTTTTTAAAAAATAAAAATTTTAAGAACCACGACACATTAATGCTCCTCAAAAACATATAAACTGAGATTCAATACACATCGAAAATTTCCATCTTTGAGTAGAACATAATCCAGAGATCGAAGGTGCCGCTTTTTAAGCCGCGGATCTAAGCGACTTCGATCTCTGACATAATCCCATAGTTCTAAAATTTTACTTCCCGTGATTGCGACCTTCCAAGTGAAACTGTATCAAAACAATCTCATAAGTCAGCAATGTTGCAAAGATCTACAAGAATTAACATTTTGTACAACAACTTAAATTTTTGGAAACTGACTTATTTACCTTGACAATCAATTTAAAATTGATTTCGAAAAATCCAGCAGCACTAAACGCAACTGTTTGTCCCAAAATTTGATGAGAGAATCTCTTGAGCAGGGAAGATTGTGGCTTATGATGCAGACAATGAAGATAGCAACCAACCAAATTTGCCTGAATTTTAGAAGTTAATTTCAAGTTGTGGAAACTCAGGATTAATCCTGAAAAATTCCAAAAATCCTTAAAAAGTCAATAACAGGAGCTTAGCCAGGAATTTGAAGAGGAGGACAAATTTTTTTTGTATGGAAAACTTTTAGAGGCTTGGGGGGGGGGGGGGGGGGGGGAGGGAGGGAACTTCTGAGTTTCTCATAAAAACTCTAGCAAAATGAAGAAATTTCTCAAGACGAAAGGGGATTTGTCCCTCAAATCCACCCCTTGGCTACGCGCCTTGTCAATAAACATGAACATTAGAATTTTTAAGGATTTGTGGGAATTTTCAGGATGAATCCCGAGTTTCCACGACTTGGTTAATTTAAATTCCTAAAATTATTAATTATCTTACCTTATTAGCACAGAGTTGGGTTGCATTGCAGATCCAGATTAGCATCAAAACTGTACTAAGCAGGTAGCAGAAACTTCCTGCAAATTCAAATATCCCATACCATCTATTTATGTAATGAATAACACTCACCAACAATCACATCAGGTTTTTGCGTTGTCTCAATTTCAATGAAAAAATTATATGCAAAATACATTATTGAAATGAAAAATGTGAAAACAATAAAGAAGAGCCGTGCACCGTACACTTCATTAACTAATGGAACCAGCACTGAGATATCGTTATGTCGTTTTATAAACTTAATGATTTTTTCATCAAATTGAGTATCCTGCTGATTGTGATTTACGATAAAGTATTTGCATTCAAATATGAAAGTTTTGAATTCCTCATGGGACATCATCAAAGCCTTGATTTCCTTACTCAAGACCTTATACTTTCTAGTAATGATCTCAACTGCCAGGATAAATCGAATGCATGCAGCTTTGACAATTAAGTCAGGAAACAGCATTTGCGTAAGTCTTTGCTCTTTTTCGTAAAAGAGAGTCGGAATGACAATCATGATAGTTACGAATATGAGGACGATTTGCCAGAATGTTAAATTTTTAATGTTTTGATCTGTAAAAATTTTCTTTTCCTTATCTGAGTACTTCCATGCGTGAAAAGTAGCAAGGATTCCAGTCAAGCATATAGATACTCTAAATAGTCTCATCATAAATGTCCCAATCTCTCCGTTTTCCTGGACTGTAGAACCAAAATGTATATAAGACATGCCTATGACAAAGCAATACTTTAACACATGCAGGATCATAAGTAAGAAGTTTTCGTAGTTATTAGTAAGAATAGGGTTCGAAACTCCTAATATAATTGCTATTCTTTCAAAATTCATTATTGGTTTTTATGCTGTTTAAAATAAATTATTAAAATTTAAACACTTAATTTAATTGAACTTCGCAAAAGTAAAGAAATCATTTTGAAAAATATTTTAATATAAATTAAATTTTTATATTCACACCGTTTTCACGTGGGAATCTATTGGTTTTGTTCAGATTGATAAATCAGTTTTTCGCATTTTGTGAGAAAACGAAGCAAAATTGTTTATGAAAGGTCCACAAAGAAAAGTTTGTGCCTGAAACTTTACATCATTTGCAAAAAACAGATTTCAAATTTGTTGCGGCATTGCTAAGAAAATCGCAGAATACGCTTTCTGTAAAGAAGCAAACAAGCATGCAAGGTATTAATCAAGAAATCTCAAGAATGAGACATCATAGAGACTTCTAGCTCTCGCCAGCTTTAAACCTTCTAACTTATGCCGAACGAAGCTTAGCTGACTCGCTAGCTGTATACTTTTAAACATATGTTGAGCAAATCTTAGTCTATACATTAGACTTTTGATAGTACCGTGTGAATATATCCACATTGGGTTTTTACCCGATACACTAGTTATGGAATGTAAAAACAGGAATTAATTTTAAAATATAACTTGTACTTTGCTACCTTTTCTAATGCTTCCGATGCACTTTAATGTTGATGACAAACTACAGAAGCTTAAATTGTATTCAACACTAACATCGCTCGATGCATTTTCATTCATTTACTTCATTGCTTTTGTTCGATGACGTGCGACTCCGCTAGCTACGCCCTTGGACATGTCTGTCACATCACTTAAGTGACGATTTTATGAGCAGAACTTTAGGTAAATTTGTAAGTTTTAAGTTTTTACTCGTTTTTTTATCTTATCAAGTCGTGTTTTGCTATCTCAATCCTAGCCTATAATTTTGTCATAAAACTTCAGTTTGTTTTTATATTTTATCGAGCAATGACTGAAAACTTTAGTGTAACTCACGTCCGCACAGATGATTCATTATTCAAGGATTACAAAAGCTTAATTTCAGTGAAACCAAAAGATCCAAAATGGGTAAACTTTCCAGGTTGGGTATCATTTGATCTACTCAATGGTGACATTGAAAGAATTAAAGCTGCAAAAATGTATGAAGATGATGTGATTCTTTGTGGATTTCCTAGAAGTGGGACGAGTATGATGCAAGAGATGATATGGCTTATAATGAATGACTTTGATTTTGATAAAGCAAAAAATATCCAAAGAGGTGTTCGGGCTCCAATTATTGAGTATGTAATCAAATTTTGCTTTTTAAAAGGCGTGGAAACTCCATATTAATCTCAAGAATCTCTAAGCCATAAAAGGTAAAATCACCTTTAAATCTCAAAATTATTCATCAAATGCATCAGGGATTTTTAGGATTTTTCAGGTTTAATCCTAAGTTTCCACACCTTGATCTTTTATTTATTTTTAATGCTCCCAATGTTTTAAGGTTGTATGATTTCTACCAATCGATCAGAAATGAAGGCAGTTATCCGCAATTTGATGATCTTCAGAGACCAAGAACATTTAAAAGTCACATGCCAGTTCAACTCCTCCCAGATGATGTCTGGACAAAAAAGCCCAAATTGATTTATATTTCTAGAAATGTCAAGGATGTTGCTGTGTCATTTTATCATTTTTCTAAGGATTATTATAACTATTCTTATACAATTGATGAGTTCCTCCAATATTTCCTTGATGATGCCCTTGAGTCAACTCCATATCGTGAACATATTCTGGATTACTTAAATATTCCAAATTATAAAAATATTTTGTATCTAACCTACGAACTTGTTACTATGAATTTAGAGTTTTACATTAATGAAGTAGCTGCTTTTTTGGGGAAGACGATAAGTGATGAGAATAAAATAAAGTTGATGGAGCATCTTAGTTTTAAGAACATCAAAGGTAGGTTGAACAAAAAAAATTCTCAATTTGAAATCTTCCATTAAAATATATAATTATCCACTTTAGAAAATAAAGGCTTTAACAATGAATCGTTTTTAAAAAAAATACGAGATGATACAGGAGCAACTCAAGAAATTGCTGGACATGCAAGAAAAGGAAAATCTGGTGGATTTAAAAGTGAAATGTCTCAAGAATATATTGATAAATTTGACAAATGGATGGCAGAGAAACTAGAAACTGGATACAATGTACAGTGAGGGAGATGACGAGCTAAACGTAATGGATGCAGCAGCTTCTTACCAACATGTTGGTCTGTTGATACAAAACAATTAATATAGGAACAGAACAAAAAGAGCAACAAAGAATTCAAAGTTAAAATAGTTGATAATTAATAAAACTCTATTCCATTGACTTAATACTCTAATGTTAAAAGGTACAGTGCAAGCTGTCAAAATCCAAACCTCATTATTTAAAGGAGCACGACCTTTATAATTCCTACATTTCAGACATTACTCTAATTTAAACGATCAATTGTTGAATTGGCATAAATTGAATAAAATTGCATTTTAATTAGTTTTTGGTGTTTCCAATGCATTAATGAGCCTGAGACAATTATCATTTACAGTAATCTAGTACTCAACACACGTGCATGAACAGTAATTAAGATATTTCGTGGTTATACGAGAGCTCGAAGTCGATGAAATTTTATATAGACTCTGATTCGGTACAAATTCGATAATAATCTCGAGTCGACTTCGAGCTCTTGGTTATACGGATGTTGTTTAACATTTAGTGGACTTAGATACTCCAGAATAAACCATAGTAACCATAAGTAAACAAATTCTCTTTTAAGTTATTGTAATTTTCATTTAATGAATTTTTGTAAACTTATTACAGCTTAGTATGTATTTCTAGGTTGTTAAGGTTTAATTCCTTTAATCAAATTTTACATCATCATAGCTTGACTAATAAATCCTAAGAATTCAGATGTTCGTGCATAAGTTCCTGGATATCCATCAAAAGCACAATAGCTTCCACCAGAAACAATGCCAACGACAAAGTTGTTGTAAACCAAAGGACCACCGGAATCACTGAAATTATTTTAAAGATATTTTATTTAGTCTGTAGATTAATAAATATTTAACTTACCCCTGACAAGCATCAACTCCTTCCTCACCAGCACAAAGTGAAGTTACTCTAATGTTTCCATAAATGTTACCACAGACCTCATTAGGCACATATGGAACTAAAACTTTTTGAAGCCTCTCAGGTGATGATCCTTGCCAAAGTAATGCTCCCCAACCACTAACCAAAAGAGGTGTTCCACTACGGAAACTGATTCCTCTTGGTGGAAGTCCGATTGGCATCACTTTGCTTCCAAACGTTAATCTTGTTCTTAGCTTAAGAACTGCAACATCGTTGTACAATCCAGCACGTTGATAATCAGGATGAATGATAATATTTCTGACCTTAATGATTTGACCTCCTTGTGACCTTAAATCGGAACCAGCTCGAATTTCAAGCCATTCAGGTAAATCGCCAAATACACAGTGAGCAGCAGTTAAGATTGTATCCTGATTTATAATTGAACCTCCACAAAAATGACCGCAATTTCCAGATGTTGGACTACAATACCGAAGTGAAATTTGATATGGCACTTGCTCAATTGTAGCATTGCTACCACCAACAATTCTTGGATTACGATCGGATGTTGAGACGAAAAAGTCTGGTGTAATCACCTTTTCTGATTGCTCACTGCATGAAACTAATGCAACTGTAAGCATACAGCAGATAAAAAATAATTCGAACCTCATGTTGTAGCTATTTACTCGACAATTGAATCTAAAATGTCAGAATCTTATAATTTTTAACTTCAAAGTTTAACTAATCTAGCTCTTCAAACTCCCTTTTTGATAAGCTTTGATTAATTGAACTAATCAATTATTATTTAAGACTCTAGACAAATAGGCTAAGGAACTTTAAAGATAATAGAACAAAACAAATATTAATCATAAACCGAACAGATTGATAAATTTATGATGCAATACTTTTATTAATCAAACTTAAATTATTTTAAATTTACATCATCATAGCTTGACTGATGAATCCTAAAAATTCAGATGTTCTTGCATAAGTTCCAGGATATCCATCATATGCACAATAACTTCCACCAGAGACAATTCCAACAACAAAGTTTTTGTAAACTAAGGGACCACCGGAGTCGCTAAACATAAATTTAATTTAATTACATTGAAAGTTGCTGTTTTGGAACTAATGCTTACCCTTGACATGCATCAACTCCTTTCTCACCAGCACACAATGATGAAATTCTAATGCTGCTGTAAATCTTTTCACATTCTTCATTTGGAACGTATGGAACATAAACCTTTTGAAGTCTTTCAGGCGATGATCCTTGCCAAAGTAAATTCCCCCATCCACTAACCAACAACGGAGTTCCTTTACGCAAATTAATACCTCTTGGTGGAAGTCCAATTGGCATGACTTTTGAGTTGAATTTAAGGCTTGATGTAAGTTTTAGAATTGATACGTCAAAATAAGATCCGGTGAAGTTGTAATCTGGATGATTAATAATTTTTCTAACTGGAATAAGTTGCCCACCTTGCGACCTCAAATCAGAACCAGCTCGAATTGAAAGTTGTTCAGCACGAATTGTTCCAACAACACAATGAGCGGCAGTTAAAATTGTATCATGATTTATAATCGATCCACCACAACGATGACCACAAGTTCCACTTGTTGGATTACAACGACGCATTGATACTTGATATGGAACTTCCTCAATTGTTGCATTATTGCCACCGACAATTCTTGGATTACGATCAGATGAAGGAATGAAAAAGTCGGGAGTTGTAATTATATCTTGGGAATAAAATTTGATTAAATTGTCAAATTAGGATTTAAAAGCTTGTCATCTCTTACCATCGGACAAAACAATGCCAAAAAGCACAAAACCAAAAATTACAAAAAATTCCAACTTCATCCTAAATTGCTTCCTTCTTTCATCAGCTGATTTAAAATACTAAGAGTTGTTACACTTATATCAAATGTGCTTTATAGTTAAGAACTGTTTAGGTAATCTTAAGTGCCTAAAATTTTGTGATAAACCGTGATGAACCGTGGTTTAATAATCTACTCTTAAGACCTAAGATAAAAATTTATTTGAAGATTAAAACAAAAATAAAAGTTTTTTATTTGAAGGTATTTTAAGCATTTACATCGACATAGCTTGACCGATAAAACCTAAAAACTCAGAGGTTCTTGCGTAAGTTCCTGGAAAACCATCAAATGCACAGAAACTTCCACCAGAAACAACGCCAACGACAAAGTTTTTGTATACCAAAGGGCCACCGGAGTCACTATTGATGGGATTTAAAAAATTATTAATATTAAGATTTTGACTCAGAGAAAGCTATGAATGTTTACCCTTGACAGGCATCTACTCCTTCTCTTCCAGCACACAATGACGTGACTCTAATATTCCCATAAATTCTAGCGCACTCTTCATTCGGTACATATGGAACATAGACCTTTTGGAGTCTTTCTGGTGATGATCCTTGCCATAATAATGCACCCCATCCACTTACCAAAAGTGGAGTTCCTTTACGGATGCTCATACCTCTTGGTGGAAGTCCAATTGGCATGACTCTTGAGTTAAACCTAAAGCTTGCTGTAAGCTTTAAAATTGCAATATCATTGAACAACTGTGTTCGTTCATATTCTGGATGAATAATGATTCTTCTGACTGGAATTAATTGGCCACCTTGGTTTCTTAAATCAGATCCAGCACGAACCCAAATCTGTTCTGGAATTATTGTCCTATCAACGCAATGTCCAGCTGTTAAAACTGTATTATGGTTAATAATTGATCCACCACAACGATGACCACAAGTATCAGTCAATGGATTGCAATATCGCATTGAAATAATATAAGGAACTTCATCGATTGTTGTATTAACTCCACCTACAATTCTTGGATGGCGATCAGGCGGTGGAACGTAAGAATCGGGTGTGAAAATTATTTCTAGATAAAAAAAAAAACAATTTATATTGATTTAAAATTTTATTTAATTTGGTTCTTACCTTCATCACAAAAAACCACATTTATAGCTAGTGAACAAAAGATTAAAAATAATTGGAGTTTCATTTTAATTATCCACTTGTTTCTATAAGCAGCCAATATTAAATGGAGAGCCTTAAAAAATGAAGAAAAATATTTAATAATTCAGATAAGGTTAAGGAATCGTTAGAATATTATGTAACGCAAATGAAAAACAAAAAAGCTTTGACCTATTCAGATCAATTGTGATCCAGAGGTGCGCTAGGGCGTTTCGCAGCTATTGAGAGTTTAACAAGTGAGGATGCGCCAAACCTAGACCTACAGTTAAAAGTGGAATCCAAACTACTCCTTTGATGATATTTCTGTTTGTAGTTTGCAAAGGAAGGCTGTAAGCCTCATTTCCAGTACATATGATTCGAAAAAGAACAAGTGAAAAATTTTTCATACCCAGTCTCGAACCCTTAGTGTTCATGGGTCGGTATTGCAATAATTAGGTACCGAAGTACCAAACCATTCCGCCACCGAGCTACTTCAGCTCACGTAAATGTAAAGCAAAAGATTGGATAAAATGATTAAGGAAGTGATAAATATAATAAAAGATGTCTGAAGATGGGGTTTTGAAAATATATTGGTGGGTTTCCAAATAAAAATAATTTTGGGTCACCTGATATCGAAAAGACCTTTAAAGCAGCTTAACTTTGCGATAAACTTTGATTAATTGACATAATAAATTAACTTTTAAGACTTAGTGCAAACTCTGAAATCTCATGACAGACAAGTTTTAAAGACAGATTTTAATTCAATTTTATTTTATTCTTTTTTTGTTAAAATTTTTTTATTATAATAATTAATTGATATATTTATTATTTTTAAATGCTCATTAATTTAAAATTTATAATATTTTTAAATTAATTTTTTATTGAAAGCGTAATGCGACATCTATTGAAAATAGAAACCAAGTTAAAGAAAAAACATTTCAACAGTTAATAAATTGTGAATTCAAAATATAAAGCAACAGTAAAGTTAATCTATAAAATAACTACTAGAAAATATATTTTAATTTTAATAAGTTTTAAAAAAATCTAAAACTTGATCAAAAATTTAAAATAAATCAACAAAACAATTTAAAAATTAGTTTTAATTTAATATTTGTAAATTTATTTATTCTTTTGGCGTACCATAAATTTATCGAAAACTATTAAAGTCAAATTCATTTACCACGTGGTAGTTTTAAGTAGACACTTAATTTTGACATCTAATTTTGAATCTAAGATTTTTATCGTATTTCCCAAGTTCTGATGAAAAAGTTTTTGTTCAGTTTTATTTCATTTAAAAAATACTTTATGGGATTTAGTAAAATAAGAATAAATCTATCTTTGATGATAAGGCTGTCCAGCGTAGCAATTAAAAAGCTTCCCAAATTTCGGCCGAAATTAAAAAAGTTCCGGTGTGTCATATGAACCGCGTTTTTGAACCCATTCTTCTTGGAAAATGCTTGAAAATTTAATCTGTCTCGCTTTTTCGTAGCTGAAATCGGGACGTGTCCCGCTTTTTCACCGATGGATAGCCTTTAAATGATTTCTTTGAAGTCGAAGTGTGTTTTTTTGAATTAAATAAATCTACATTCACTTAACGTATTGTCTATTTTAGATATCCTCACCATAATTTTTGGTGATACTAGTTTAATAAATTAAAATTTTTATATATATTTTATTAATGTTGTACATGAGGTTCCTGTATTGGTAAAGTATTTTACAGAAACTCGAATTTTATTAACCCCAAAGACAAAGTCAAGGGATCTAAATATGGACCCAAGTCATCTGTAAAGTCGTGATATTCTGAATGATCTTATACATAGATAAAGCTAACCCAAATGGCACAAGTCGGTCAATTAATCAGAAATCCGGCACCAAGCCAGCGTGACTCTGGCATGGTGCTGGATTTTAAATCGAAACTAGCATATGCCAGCTTAGCGCCAAATATCTTTTCGATTAACCGACTTGTGGCATTCGCGTAGCGATTAATAAAGTTGAACCTCAAAATTACCTCAATTTCATCTTCAGTTTAATAAAAATTACAATTTACCAACTAGCTTTACAATAAATGCCTTTAAAATTTAACATAATTTTGTGTCTTTAAAAATTCTCTTAATTTTTAACTCCATTCAATTTTTCCATTTCTACAGGACTGCCATTTTCATGCTTTAATTTTCCATTATTTTCAAGATCTGGATCCTCTATTGGAACTGGTTTAGCTTCACCCTCAATTCTTGGTCCACAAAGATGCTTTTTGCCTATAAGTGCATCTCCAAATAACGCACCAAACACAATGACTGTTGCCAAAATTTGTCGAATTGTAATTTCATTTCCCATAAAAAGCACTGAAATGATGACAGTGAAAAGTTTTCTTGTTGTTGTGACAATCGAGCATGGAAGTGGTCCAAAATCTGAGATCATCATAAATATGAAAATTTGTCCGAGTGAACCAACTAGAGCAGCAAGTCCAACTTTATAAAGGACATCTGGATATTTCATTGCAAAATGATAAAAATCGACAATGTCGAAAGTTGCAACGGAACCAAAGAATAAAATAATTGCACTGAACATGTTAATCGAAAACATGAAATTTAAAGCTGGTGGTTTTGTAGCTGCTCGCATTCTATCCTCAACAGCTCCAAGAACGCCGTCAGCTAAAAGACTCATGCTGACCAATGCCAAACCCAAATATCCCAAATGAGTATCTTCAGCTGTTGGTTTTAATGTTGTTACTGCTTCTTTAATAGTTGTCGTGATTGTTGTTGTTATTGTGGTCGTTATTGGACTTAAAGTTGTGACTGTAGCATTAACTGCATCTGTGAGGACTTTAGATGCTGCGCTTTTCTCATTTTTGTCTTTATAAACGAACAACATGACACCGACAACAATCAGGATTACAAAGATGTATTTTTGAATCGTGTAACGTTTTCTGGCCAGGCAGACACCGATGAACTAAAATTAAAATTGACAAAAAAATGAAGTTTTCAATTAATATTTTAGAAAAATTTTAAAACGATATAAATCTAGACATTTGATGTCTTGTGGCACACCAGTGTGCCACGGCACATAGTTTGGACAACACTGGTTTAAAGTTTAACTTACCATAACAGGAATAGGTTTTGACGACTTAGCAATAACTTGAGTCGGGTATGAGATCCATCTTAAAGCCATATTACCACAGACCATAGCTGAAATGTAACAAAATGCAGCTGCAGCATACCAGCCCCAATGTGTTCGATCCTTTTCTCTTTTATGGATGAACTCGAACTCGTCATTTAGGAACATAATGACTGAAATGAGAAAAAATATTTAATTTGTGTACGTTTTATAAGTTTTGTTATATTGATCGTCTCTGATAAAAGTGAGGCTCTATAAGCTCTATCAAAGGAAAACCTTTTAATAATTCTAATTAATACTAAGCTTCATTTTTTTGACTTATTGTTAATATTAAGATTGTTCATCATATTAATGAGATCAAATATTTATTTAATGTCTCCAAAATTAATTCCCCATGACTTTCTTAAATTAAACAATGAATAGCTTATTATATTTCTTAGGTTATTTGTTTCATGACTCATGATATTTAGATTATATATGGTGCTAATTAGTAGAGTAAATAATGACGATACACGAATATGAAATATTATGAAATATTTGCACGTCTTTTTGTTTGATATTTGGTGACAATTTACAGTGAAATTTGAGAATTTAGATCATATTTATGCAGAACAAATATTAAGAGTAAATTATAACTTTTTCAGCTCCTTATGAATTCCAGAAGTGTTAAAAATTTCAATATTTTTTTTAAACCATTAAGTTAATTTTTTTTTTTGAAAGTTTTATTAAGAAAAACCTTTTTTTATACAATTTGTGATGCTTAATGAAATATTTATTATTGGATGCTATTTTCTGTGTCCCTTTTATGCAATTGCGACATAATATTTAAATTACGTACTCTCAAGCCCACAATGAGATTTTGGTCTCATTTTGACATACAGACGCATAAAGACTGCATGAAAAATTTGCAGCATAATTTGAAATTTATTCACGAAACTTTAACATTTTGATTTCTTTTATGATGAATGAGAGTAATAGAAGAACCTCAAGTGAACCCGAGTAGTTCAAATCTTAGTAGCTAAGCCAATGGTTTCTAAACTGTGTGCCGCGGCACACTAAAGTGAATCACTGAGCTAATCACGAGTAAAGAACAACATACATATGATACCTAAGTAGAAGGAACAAGATCAAAAAGATTCATTTTTATGTTTTCCTGTAAAAGTCGTTCAATCGAATTGTTCAATCGAACAATGGATTTCCAGAAATTTCTATTGTTCTTTTCTTGCTGACACCCCCCCTCTTCCCCCTTCCCCCCCCCCCCCCCTTTCAAACGGAATGTTTACAAAAAAAACTGTTTGTTCCTCTTCATTAAGTTACAATGAACATGATCTATTAAATCTGCGGAGTAAGTTAATTTTTTTCCGTTATAAAAATAATTTTAACAGCCAACGCAGTTTTTTGTTGTAGAATCGACAAAAATACTATGCGAGGAAAAATTAAAATCTACAATATAGAGACAAATTTGATTTTCATAGTTTTGTCTAAGGAATCTTGAGTATTTTAACCCTAAATTATTGAATTTGTTGATGACAGTTAACAGCAGGCAGAGAGGATTTTTCAATTGGTTTAAGGCAATTAAATGACACTGAAACTATTAAATTTAACTTAGGAACTTATCGCCATCCAGCACAAGTTGGCACCCGGGAATGTCATCAAAATTAAATAACCATCCATTTTCATCCCAAAACAAAAACAAATCTGCTTATTCTCATCATGAGATAAAGCAAAAGAAAAATATTCGTTCACGTCCCATCACCATGCAAGAATGATACGAAGAAAGTATTAATCTATGAGCAATAAAATGTGAGACAAATTTATAAGGCTCACGTGGAAAGTGCATGACTTGATGTTTTTCTCAAACTTTGTGATATCTTCATTATGTCTTGATGAAAATTTATGGGATATCAAGTTGCGACTTGGTAAAAATTTGTGGAAATAAGAGAATAAAATATTGATGAAAGTTTAAAGGTTTTTTTTTTGATGAAAAAATTTACAGACATTAGCTATGCGATTGCTACGTCACTTGCAACTTTATGACAAAATAAATCCAATGATTAACTTTACTCTGCATCAATCGCTTATCAGGTGGGAATAACAGCACTGGTAACGTGACATTTATATTTATTTGGTGTGAAAGGACCATAAAGCTTAACTTGAATTAATTTATAAGCCACTGATTTCGTGATTTTCTGATTTTTAAGGTATTGATAGAATTTTATCGCGTGATTTTCAAGGTCTTATGGATAAAAATGTCTGATTTAGAATTGAATGACTAATCTATGAAATATGATGTATTTGCATGCAACTTTAGTTAAATCTTATCAGTCTTTGCTTCTGCTTGGATGGAGGAAAAGCATTCGACATGGATCTTTGCACATCCAGAAATTAAATTTATTCTTGGGTAAGCCCAAAAACTGGAATCGGTCATAAAAAAGACTAGAGTTCTTCTGTGTTAATAGCAAAGAGCAAAAAAATTTTATCGAGTACGAAAATTCGTTTTGGTGGACGTAATGGTTATGAAATCTCACACAACGTGCCTAAAACCATCATCAGACAGCCTGGCTTCATCTTGGCATCACATTCTTTTGTTAGACATGCAAAAATCAACAGGTATCCGCAAATTTCCTGCCCAAATATTATATTCTTGAATTTTATAAATTGTTTACCTAACCCGAGTAGCACAAATCGGATAATCGAGACGAAATCCTTCGTCGGGACGACAATGGGACGACTTAAGCCTCAAGGTCCCAGCCTCACGGTTAAGGTTGGGATCCTTAAGTCGTCTCAGTGTCATCCTGACGTGGGATTTCGTCTCGATTATCCAACTTGTGCTTCTCGAGTAAAATCATCAAATTTAAATTCCATTTCATTCATTTTATATTGCTCAATTTACTTATTTTCACTAGCGTGTAAATTCTAAAAGTAAACGGTAACAACAAACAAGGAATAATTCGAACTGCGTTTACGTCCAATTGACAAAGTTTACGTCATTTTGACTTAATGAGATGAGACAACATCAACGAGGAGAAAAGAAGTATGAAAAGGGCAATCAACTCTATTTACAGTTGGTCATATGATTTTAAGTACATTCAGCCGTTAATGTTACGTGATATTTATTAAGTTTGAACATTTTAAGGGATTTTATAAAGAACGACTTCCTCATCAAAAAATTTTTTATTGAACTAAACTCAAGACTTGCTGAATTAGAACTCTAGGACTTGGTTGTGACTCCCAACTTTTCATAAAATTCTCACGTGCTAAATCGTCATTCCACATTTACAAGAACATTATCAAATCATTCGAAAATAAAATGCCGAAACGAGACTTAAACATTCAACAATAAAACAATCAATCAACAATGAAAATTCCAGTCTGCGTGATTTCCGAATAATTTCATATCGAGCTCAGCAATAATATGACATGCTGATAATGAGTCGTTCGATGAAAAGCATGAACAAGCTGTTCACGTGAGTCAAATTTTACGCAGAAAAGAATATTATTAAATATTTATTTTAAGATAATTTGATGTTGAAATAGAAATAGATATAGAACTTCCACACCCATCCTTCTCTGTCACGTAACTTTTATACAAAAAATTATTTATGTGTAACATCGACAGACGATATCTATATCTATAAATTTGGGTTTGATCCAGTGGCGAACCACGAATTCGAAGAGAAGGGACACATTTTTTATTTGTATGGAAAACTTTTAGGGGGGGGGGGTGAATTTTTTTGAGTTTTTCATAAAAATGAAGAAATTTCTCAAGACGAAGGGGGATGTGTCCCCTAAATCCACCCCCTGGCTACACGCCTGGTATGATCCTTTTTTATAACAGTCAAGTTTAAAAGTTCCACAGGAAATCAATGATGCAACAATCTTGTTACAATGAGCTAAACTTCGGGCATTTTTGTCACGTTTAAATGGTTATTGGATTTTCATTATCTTCTTATCATTAAAGCAAAAATTGATTTACTTCGAGCTTTATAAGTTACTGATATCGGAGTTTAGACCAAATTTCAATGCTTATTAGTAGAAGCGTAGCCAGGAATTTGAAGATGATGATGATGGGTTCCTATTGTTCCACTTTGAAGCGTAGGGCGTCCACAAAGCATTTGAATTACACTCGATTCTGGGCATAAGTTGCTATTTCCTGCAGCTTCTTGTTCTGTTGTTCCACCTCCCGTTCAACAGTTGTACGCCAAGTAATTCTCCGTCGGCCTCTAGTCCTATTTCCTTGGACATTCCAGAAGATTGCTTAAGGGGTGGGGGAGGATTTTTTCATCAAAAAACCCTATTAAAATGGTTACGTAACAGCTAGTTACTAATGTTTTTGTCAAAATCAGCCGTTGTCTCGCACATTTTTACAGTTTTTAATTTTATTCAAAGTTTTTGGCTATTTTTAATTCAGCAATTTTTTTCCGAATTCCTTCAAATCTTGATAAGATTAAGGAAGGTTAGCAACAAACGGAACTGATTAAAAATTATTAAATTGACCTCATTACCTTTATCATCAACAAACATTATGAAAGACTTAATATTTACATTTTTATGCAAATTTCTAGAGTTCGCCCACATATTGGGAACTAGGAATTGCGCTAACCCTACAAAATTTACTTAAATAGTAAAATTAGATATTAAATTAATTTATCATCAATTTTACACCTGCTTATTTCAGTTCCCCTACACTGTTGTTATTTTAATAATTTTACTGTGTTTCAGCATTTGTTCATTTTGAATAAAGTTTACTTAAAAAATCTAAAAATATCTTTAAAAAAAATTATTTCTACATTATATTATTGTCGCTTCTTTTTTTATCTCGTGCGGAAAATTACGCTTGACTGGCACTTGTTGAGCATAAAAATAAAATTATTATTATTATCGTGTTATTTGTGTGTAATTTTTTAAAATATTTGTAAAAATTTGAGTTATTTAAAAAAAATTTGTAAAATAAGTAGGAGTTTATGAAGAACCATAAATGAAAGATTGGTTTATGACTAACATTTCGATCTTTTGAAGTTCAAACACAATTTCAATTTTAAATAAACTCTATTCACCAAAGGACGCATGTTATTTGATTCATTAAAAACGTTTGTCAATGTTTCACGCAATGATTTTGTTTTGGTGAAGTCATTATTGATTTATTAATGTAAAGGATCGCATTCATAACTTA